GGAAAAGTCAACGACGGTCTTCGAATCCCCGCCATCTGTTTGGCGTGGATCTGCCACGACGAAAATACGTGAAAGGATGGAGCAGTCGACGCACTTGGAGCGCCTACGCCGGATGTTCTCCAAGGACCAACCTCCCTTGCCAGAGCAGAGAAGATGTTGAAAGAGTGAAGGGAGTCGTTACTGCGTTAGATTCCCCGGTGGGCCTGAAGTTCGCTGTCGCAAGCCAGGAAGTCAAATGGCACTGACAAATCCGAACCGCGTCTCGGAGGATGGGCTCCGTTTGCCATTATCGACTCCTCCAGTGACCTTTGTTTCCTTGCAAACACAGGCAAGTCTTGGACCACAATGAGGACACGCTCTGCACGCGATGAATGGCTCAAAGAATAAAATCTACACCATATTTTTTTCAAAAAGGAAGTTAAGGTTCCATTTATGGGAAAAGTCAACGACTTCTGACATCCAGAAAGAGGTATTATGGCCTTGGTGAAACCTTCTTCTCGGAGATGTTAGTTCTGAATAATATGAAGTTGGGTTCTACGGCGGGACTGAAGTCACTGCCACAAGCCTGGAAGTCAAAAATGGCGCTATCCGATCCGAATCGCGTCTGGAGAAGATCGCAGGGTGGGCTCCGTCTGTGATTATCAATCAGCGCCTCCAATGGCGTCAGTGCGCTTGCAAGCACAGCCAAACCATGGATGAGAATGAGGACAGGCACTGCACGAGACAAATGGTTCAGAGAACATATCTTCATCGTATGTTTCCATCTGTGGGGAGAAGTCAACGACTTCACCGTGTGTCATCGTCGCCGTAGGAAGAGAGAGAGAGAGAGACACGAATTTGGCAGAGCTCCAAATTGACAGGAAATTACGAGAGGCCGCCATGGTTTCCATTTTTCCTTTTAATCTGGGAATTAGTGATCCTCCATCATCGATATCCAACAAATTTCGAGAACACATAAATCTGTTTTTTTCCTTTCCTTCTTATCTGCTAATGATTTTTCTTTTTTGGGGGGGCTAAAATTGTTGTAAAAATTGTTGGGATGGAACTATCCCAGAAATCACTATTTTTCAATATTTGATTCTTTTCCTCTACATCATCTTGGGAAAGCAGTAAGCTTCCAGGAGTCTTCACAGCTAGTGGTAGTAGATCTCTGCACTTCTCGAGCATGCTGACTAAACAGCATAAAGCAATGCTTACAGGATTCTGCCAGATTGTCGGCGGATTGCCTGAAGATGGAGGAGTTCGTCTTCCAATTCATCGGATCAAGCAGCCCTTTGAGTCAACTACTGGGTGTAAAGACTCCCAACTGGAGGCAGAGACAGATAGATGAGATGCTCTGGTCGGACTAGCTACACCAGAAGTTGACTTTCGGCTTAAGTGCACTAGATATCGCTAGTTAGGGCCGTAATGTTGGCCGGGAAATCTTGATTATATAATCAAATATGATGATAACATGATGTGGCCAATATGGGCTGATGGGGTGTTGACCTCTATTGAGCAAAATGGATCAACTAGTTAACCGGAAGCGTTCTTAGGAATAAGTGATAAAGCCTATGGATAATCCTCTGCAAAATCTTGTATGATTATGTGGAGATCTGGAAACTAAAGATGATCAGGAATGTGGCGGATGAGCGAGCTAGTGAGAGACAGAGAGAGAAAGGGAGAGACAGAGAGAGATAGGGACAGAGGGATTGGGGGGTGGTAGTACACCGATGAGAACGAATTACAAAGACCAGCTTTTTTGTCTTTTTTTTCCGGGGAGTAAAAGAATGTTGGAGTTAGCGGAGGGGCGAGGGGAAGATGACGCCGAGGACGTAGAAGAGGAAGCCGGCGAGTAGGATCCCCCGGTGGTGCTTTAACTTGAGCTGGTGCGAAGGGGAGGCAAAGACTCCAATCGAGCCCTAGGTGTCGTTGGCGGACGGTGGACGATAAAGGCGGCGATGGTTGATGGCTGCTCCTCACGGCCTCGCCTTGCGGAACGAAGAAACGTAAACCCTCTCAAATGATCTTCATCTTCTCTCCGTCTTGTTTCTAAGGATGTTATCTATAACCTCTCTGGTGCTTGCTAAAATAAACAAATGTTTAACCAAGGAATTACGCCCTGGTCGGCATGAGCGGATGTGCTGACAATGCAGAGTTCCTGGCCCACTTCTTCGATCCCCATCAAATGGTGGTCTCAGCCCAACTCCACCAGATGCTCCTCCGGGTCATGCCGTGAAGAAGAACAACAACAACAAGAAAAGAAGAAGAACAACAACAACAACAAGGAAGGGGTATATATCGATCACGTACGTCCAGGTACCGCTCGAGGGTGTCGACGATCTGGTGGTGGGGGCTGGGGCAGGGTGGCCACTTTCCTGTATAACTTGTTCACTCAGAGCTCCCCGGCGGACCTGTTCTTCATGGCCTTCACCTACTTCCCCATCAGGGTCATCAGATCATCCACCTGCACCCCCGAAAATGACCCAAAAACACACAGACCATCTCAATTATTTTATGATTGAAAATTCGTATGTTAGCCAACAGACATGTTCCTCCACCAATGTAACTAAGATAAAACTTCTCGCTGAGAGAAATGCACTTCCCTTGAAAAGCAATGACTGACCGCTGTGTAGCGAGCCTCATTGCACAAGTCTCTCGCTGCCCACGGTCATGGAGAGAGGTGGCGAGAGGATCTCGGAGCAGCTCAGACAATGTTTTTCAAGACCAGTGTATTTCTCTTAGCGAGAAGGGATCCAAACAGGTAATATGGCATACAGAGTTTTCCTCCTACCGTGATAGGCCTTATTCTGGGAGCTGGTAGAGCTCTGGATACAGCATTAGACTCCCCGGGGAGGCTGTAGTCACTGTCACAAGCCAAGGAAGTCAGATGGACCCAACACTATTCCTATATTGAAACATTGTCTCAGACTCAATATATTCAACATTTTCTTGAGCCACTAATTTGAAAGATCAATTTCTCTCTTTCCCACAAAATAAGACTTACCAGGTTACCTCTAAAAGTTTGGTATTCTCTCATTTTCCATTGACCATCAGTTTCATTAGTTATTCTTTTTCTTAATGTTCACAAATCTGATGAAATGATCGCTTGAATGAGAACTGGGTACAAAACAATTTTTTCTTATTCTAAATTTTGCATTGATGAATAGTTGTTTTGGACTAAGAATTATCTTATGTTTTCATGAAATCATGAACAGGTATATCTCCATCCATCTTATTTATTTTTGGTTTTAGTCTAGTTATTTTTACAAAAAACTTATATGGAATATCGACTAAATTAAATATGTTTTTTAATCTAATTTACAACTCATAATTTGATTTCATGATTTAATTTTTTGAACATTTTTATAGTAAATAAGGACTTTCAGTGACCTTGAAAATAAAGGTAAAATAAAATTTGAGAACTAACCTCAATTCCTTTCTGATTCATGGGCATTGAGGATAACCTTATTTCTCCCTAAAAGACCTCTGATACCAAAGCTTTATTTATCCCTGATGAGACACATTCGCAAAAGCATGATAGAGTTCCTAGATGCTATTAGTATATGCCTACCCTCACTAGACTCATACACAATGGCTCTTAATTTTCTCCTTTTTCACGTTTGCATCTTAAGAGGTCTTTCTTCGAGTTTTTGTGATGGAAATTGCTATTCTTTATCAGAAACGTCTTCAATTTACAGTATACAAGGGCTACATCATCACCAAAATGAGTCTCACAGTTCTAATCTACTTGTAACTATGCTTATATGATAAAAACCCACATTGCGAGGAGAACATGGGAGGCGAGATATCATAGGGCATTCTCATATGATGCTATTACGAATTCTACAAGCCTATTGATCAAAAATTAAATTCACTTGAATTCAAAATCAGAATATGCGAGGATATTGAAATTTCCTAACTGTAATGATCAATAAGGCTTTTGTCATCAATGGTGTTATTTCTCACTATGAACAAAAAAAATCATATTTATTTCCCATCTCCACATGCGTTAAAATTTCTTTCTCGAACTTATAATCACATGACAGTAGTATGTTTCAATAGCTGAGAGTTTTGGTCATCATTCACAAGCATAGCATCACTAAGGATGTCAGTATCCATTTCAGTGCTGAAACTAAGCAAATAAGTAGACAAATCCTGACATAAATACATTCAATCCTCCATCATCAGTATATGACATATTGAAAACTGAATCGCAAACAGACATTTTGTCAAAATGTTCGAAGTGCAGACTTTCATATTACATAGATAGGTTTCGTTCTGAACATTGATGCAAACGTAATGATATTTCCTATTCTGCTCACTTTAAGAAATAAGAACATGGACTTGTTGGTAGATTCTTCAACCAAAGCATGTCCAGAATATATTCATTATCATAGTCACGAACTTCTCACCATCAAAACCTCTACCTTTTTATTTTCCAAGGAAAATGAGGATGAGAATGAAAGCAGATACTTTAATCCATTATCATCATGAGTACTAGAATATCCATGACTATCAGAATTTTCTAAGTCACTAAAGGGGATCAAGGATGAAGTTGTATCTACTTCATGGTTTTCGTCTTCATTGTTCAAAAGCCGGAAATTGATTAACCTGTGACTTTGCCTTTCGCACCACATTTTCAGTCCTGGGCACCCAACAATGAAAAGCACTTACAGTGTTAATGACGGATTTTTCTCATATGAGAAGCAGAGATCTGGGCTGTATTTAAGGCTTAGACGTTGCTGGGGGTTTAACCTTTATAGTGAAAGGAATAGTTTCGGATTGTTGCTAGTCCTTGGACAGTTTGAGGCATCTGATTGACATGGTACAGAGAAACCATAATACCGTAGTCTATCAATATCAAGAACTCTTAGTGTTGATGGCAGCCATTCCACTTGCATGAATGCAGCAGGCCCAGAGCATCTAATAACCCTCAATTATGTCAATCCTTAAAGCAAGTAAAGTGGAAAAGAAGTCAAGTCAGGATATTTGTCAATTTCAGGCACTTACAATGTTCGTTACAGCTTTATCCCGCGTATGATGGCCAGTAAATGGGAGTATAACAGTTTTTCACTCCATAGTACTATATCATATAGGTCGTTGTAACCATGGGAGGTGACTTCTGTTTCGAATATATTCCTCACGCAGAACTTGTTCATTCTGAGTAATTTCTCAATATTTGACCTGGACAACTTTAATCTGAAACGTGGACAATTCTTCACGCTGATGTCTTTAAGACTGTGAAGGCAGCTTATTGAGAAGTAACTCAGTGAGTGACAATCAACAACAGAGAGCTCTTGAAGCTTCGGGCATTCTCCCTCTTGAGGACCTTCCCATGAACACCAATTGGGCAAATCTTCCAGATATAGTCTTTCCAGTAGTAGAAACCCTCCACACGAAAAGTCTTTCCCAATATCTTGATGGAAATTTATGATGGACAGATGCTGGAGAGATGCAAGCCCGCTAAGGTGCGAAATTTCGAGCTGATGACATCCGATAATCTTTAGAACTCGGAGAGCATTGAAATTGACTTCAGATAAGAATGACACATTTGGACAATCAACAATAGCAAGTGTGCGGAGGGGAGAAGGCCTTTCACCAACGTCGACACCATTCTGTGGTAACTCAGAGAACATACTTTGTAGTCTTTTGGCTGACTCAATGTACACATACCTCAGACATGGAAACTTCTCAAGAGGTCGGAGTGAAGTCAACTATTCGCATCTAATTAATTCAATGCGGTTGAGGGCACAAAAGTACCTAGGATCTCTTATCCAAGATGGAAGAGAATCTCCCTCAAAACCACGCATGTAGAGTTGCCTGAGGTTTGGATAAGGCCCAAGGCTTTCCAACACCTTCCCATGTATACGATGGGCCATAGGAGATTTCTTTTCTTTCCAGTGCAAAGATAAGACCTGAAGATGCTCCCTGCTGTCCCAAGATACCTTCTTTGCCTCGTCCACATCAACCAAGTCAGTAAACTCTTTGACTATAAAATGACGGCCGCGTAGTTCAGTCAGTTTTCCGATAGCCAAGGAAAATTCAATGCCATCATTGCAGATGAGCCGCCTCAGACTTGGCAGATTCGATATACTATCCGGGAGAGAGTAAATCTTACAGAATTCCACATCCAGTGTGTAATGCTGGTCGAGCATCCCTAGTGATTCTGGCAAATACTCAATCCAGGTACCACGAAGACCAAGATAATGCAGTCGTTTCAGGAGGCAAATGGAATCAGGCAAAACTTCAATCTTAGTATAATTCAAGTTTAGTGTTTCCAGGAGATATAGACTCCCAAAGGTTTCAGGCAGCTCAGTGATTTTGTTACCTTGAACACTAAGGAAACGTAGGTGTTTCAAATCACCAATGCACTCAGGAAGGATCAATATTCCTGTATAACTCATATTAAGAACTCTCAGCTGCTTCATTCTGCTGCATAAATCTTTCACATCGGGCCAACTTAGCATGCTGTTGAAAAATAATAGACATTGAATCTGTGGTGAGCACTGAACATGCTCCCGGGGATAATTCATAGTGGAAATGACTGAGAAGTGCTGAACAGTGTCATCTTTATTTCCATAGAACACACCATCCTCCACACTCCACCATTCATCTCGTGAAACATCTCTCGCCAGATCATGGATCAAGTCATGCATCATGAATATTTCATAATCTTAAAACTGTTCAAATAAAGACCTTGATACTAGCTCATTTATATACTCCTCACCGATGTCTTCTAGTTGTTTTTTTCTTCGTTCGGTTCGAGAAATATAACCGTGAGCCATCCACATATTGATGAGTTCCTTCTTCTGAAACTGATAATCTTTTGGGAACAAAGAACAATACCTAAAACATTTTTTGAGGTTGATAGACAAATGCTGGTAACTCAACCGGAGTATGGGCATAATGCTACTTTGGTCATCAGTAGGCCAAATACCACTATTGTTCAGTATATCGTTCCATTCCTCAACATCATCTTGACCACGCAGTAAGCTTCCAAGAGTCTTTGCAGCTAGTGGTAGACCTCTGCAGTTATTGGAGATCTTCTTCCCGATATCCAGCAGGGTGGGGTCTATGTCAGAGTTCAGATCCTCAAAGGCATGCTGACTAAAAAGCATAAAGCAATCATTGTCTGTTAGATAAGGTAATCGATGGACACTATCTGCCCTTATTACTCTATCCAAAAAACTTTTACTCCTTGTAGTCACTAAGATTTTGCTTCCATCTGAGACACCAAGAAAGGGTTTATAGAGTTGTTCCCAGGCATCTATATTAAGATTTTGGTGTTCCCAGACATCATCAAACACAAGCAAAAGCCTTTTTCGCTCAACAATTCCCTTCAGCCTTCTCTGAAGTGGATCCAATTGCGTAAGATCACACTTTTTCTCCTCCAAAGACTCGAGCATTGCCCTTGTCAACCTCTCCAAATCAAATTCTTCAGAGACGCAGACCCAAATCTTCAGATTGAAATGTTGCTGCACTTGGGTGTCATTGTACACGAACTGAGCGAGTGTAGTCTTCCCAAGGCCACCCATACCAACGATAGCGATTACAGGAATATTACCATCTCCATGAAGCTCTGAGAACAGCAATCCCTTGATTGTCTCCAAGTCGTGACCTCTGCCAATCATGCGACTTGATCCCATCAAAGAAGTGCTTTGAGGACGGACGGTGGTGGGCTTCTGCTGATGGATTTTGGCAAGTCCAAGGACATTCCCATCCCAATCAATCTTCTGCTTATCTAGTTTTACCTTCAAATCCGTTGCTTTTTGGGCTAGCTCATCCAGCAAGACCAAATTTCCATGTGGATTATTCGAAGGACTAAGGTTACGTTTCTGGTCAAGAATGCTAACATCTGCCTTTACCAGGTTGTCATCCACTGGAAAGGTCGCACCCTCTGATTTTAGATGCAGCACATGATAAAGAAACTCATCAAGCACATCCTCCACATCATAGAAGATTTTCTTCAGAGCTTTAAGACGAAGTCCAGCGGATTCACAGGTTATCTCCATCTCCTCAGACTCATTGAGCTTGGCTCGGATCATCTGGGACATCTCATTCAATGATTTCACATCTTTCAGCCGCTTCAAATCATTACCCGATGGACTATGACATCGCCTTAGATAGTCAACTGCTTCATTGACCTCGGTTATGAAGGCATCACCCATGATGTCCGCGACAAGAAAAGAGGAGGATTGCTGAGGCGGGGACTGCCTCTCTTCTCTCCGATACTTACGCTATTACCTATATATGAAATGCGTCCTAATTAACACAACCTAAACCACTCAAACAACAGAAACAGATCCGTATGTGTGAGAAACGCAGCAGTGATCTAATAATGTGGCATAAGTCGTACATAACTGTAACCCATTGTAAAACCATCAGCAATGCTAGAAGCATAGCATAATTAGTAAAACACAGGAATATGGCCGAGGAAGTATTCAGAGCCATACAAGTAGAAATAAATACTATTCATCAGACAACAAATGTTCTATAACGTTAGTACTCTACAAAGGTAATGAAGTGAAGAGAGTGCGTGGTAAGCAATTTTTTTCATATCATTATTTCCAATGATAGCAATATCATAATAGCTAATGTTAATGAATGTGCTTCTTTGATGGTACAAGTACGAAGCAAAAGACTACCATTAAGATAGAAGTTGGAATTCATTGCTAGATTGCTGGTGTCTTACTGACATTGGACCTAAATAAATGAGCATTCATCACAACTGAGGGCTGCCCAGATAGCCCGTATAAATGAGAAATTATCCAGGGACCTATATAAGTAAGGAGCTTTAAAACTTGGTATCTTCTCATGTTGGCGAGGGATGAGGAGAGGAGAGGGAATGCCTGTGCAATGGGAATGGCTGCTACACGACAGAATCCCTGGATATTGGATGAGGGATGAGGGGAGTCGCTTGAACACCATTAGCTACATAATTTCAATAAGATAAAACTCAGAAAGATGCATGACTTATCTAGCGGTTAACCAGAATTAAACCCCTGATAAAATAACTGCGGATACAAGAATAAAGATATTTTCTCCTCATTTTCTATATAATGCTGTTATCCTACCTATCTGTTATTGACTAGGAAAAAACCCATATCCGTTTTAAAGTGAAATACTGTATTGATTTAAACGAGTTTTCCATGGAAAGCACTGATCTACGTCATGATCAAATGGACCTAATATTTCAAGTTTCGGCAAACCAATAAGCTAGGCAGAAATATTTCCTGAAAGTAGAATTACTGAGTCGGATACGCTGCGCTAGTCAACGAGCATGTTCCTCCCGCCAACGTAAGTAGAAAACAATCAAAGATCGGTAACGGGCAAGATAGAGGTGAATCACTCTTGATCCGTTATATCCAACCTCGATAATTCGTTTTAAAACAAGAAACTTTCAAAAAATCTTGGAAGAGAATACCTAGAGGGGAGATAATTCGTTTTTTCTGATAGCTGGCGGTTCGTAGAAGACGATGCAGACGTGAAGAACACAAGCCGCAGTTCGATTCCGCCAGACGTTGATCTGCGGACGGCCTGACTATGGTGGAGTTCGTCTTCCAATTCAAAAGATCAGGTAGCCCCTTGGAGTGAACCACGAGGGGTAATACTCTAGGAAGCTACGCCGAACGTTCTTCGGTGCCAGAGCAGAGAAGAGATGGAAAGAGATGGGAGTGGTGAGAGGCCTGGAAACAGCGGAACCCAAGAAGTACTCATGGCGTCGGACGTTTCCTCCTACCCTGTTTATGCCTTCAATCGGAAGCTGTTAGTGATCTGAATGCCGCATTAGGCTCCCCGGTGGCGGTGAAGTCACTGTCACAAGTCAAAAAAGTCAAAGGGCACTAGCCAATTCGAGCTGCTTCTGAAAGAGATATGAGGGTGGCCCCCATCTGCAATTATCTATAGGAGTTGTGGAGATTGATCTCTTATTGAGTACGTAGATCCATATAGTTTATCATAATCTTATGTTCAAGAACAGGGGCGTTAACATCTCATGAAATTAAGGACGTGAGAAGCCATTAGGGCGTGGAAAGAACCTATGTAAGTGAGGAGCTCCAAACTTGCTATCTTCTCATTTTCGGCGAGGGACGAGGAGTGGAGAGGGAATGCCTGTGAAGTAGGAATAGCTGCTACACGGCAGAACCATGGATGAGGGCGAGGGTGTTACCTGATCACAATTGCTGCAATTTCCTTTTTTAGAAAGTTAAAACTCAGAAACATGCATAACTCGTCATAAAACCACGTTGATACAAGAATAAAGATAGTTTATCCACATATCATGTAAATTAGACGCAGTTTCTTGTAAAGAAAAATACTGAATTCATTTAAGTGAATTGTCCATGGAAACTGCTGATCTACATCATAATATGTGCCGTAATTTTGTTTCAAGCAGAAATATCGAACTAACTTAGATGAATTCTCCATTGAAAACACTGATCTACGTCGTGGAAAAGCGGACTTTAGATTTGAAGTTCCGGTAAACCAAACAGCTAAGCGACTATATTCCCTGAAAGTACGATCAGACAGAGAATGAAGCGGTGATACTATGTTCAATAGGGTAGATTTCATGCCAGTAATTCACTATGTAAGATCTATCTGAGTTTCTTCAAAATTACATATCTAAATTTTATTAAAATCACTTTAGTTTATCAGCGTCAGTCATTAGGTCAAATTAAATTGCATAACATGAAATCCTGAGGTGAACACTTGGAGAAATGAGCTAACACCTTAAGAAAAAATGCACATTTTCATCATTTGAGGATCAAAGCATAAAAGTTGCATCGCCCCTTCACTCAAACCTCAATGACATAAGCTGGCATCAATTGACGTATTTCTTGATACAACCTCTAATGTGAAAATCAAAACATACAAGTACCTATAGTCATTAGGAATGTGTCTACCATTCATGGCCATGCCCTTATTCACCTCTACTCGTAAGATATTGTGGCAATAAAATTCACTGAAAAAAAAAACACTAATATTTCAGGCACAAAAAATTTCAAAACCTCTCTCTATCATGTGAGAAGTGATTGCTAAGGCATCATCATGTTCCACCATTTGAGATCCCCACATCCAAATTGTCTACTTTCAGCGGACAATCTTTACCTGTTTAGTTTTGATTAATTGCTGCTTGATGCATAAAAGAGAACATGTTATTGAGCAAGGCTATTCTCATGCACACTACGAAGGCATAGTTAATACCTAAGGCAAGCAAACTTGTGGGCTGATGCAGGTAAGTCCTCAATGTTCCCTTGAAGAGCTGGGGGTATGAGCCAACCATTCAATTAACCAAAGGTACAACAATATACAGATGACCAGCCTATGAAGGCTCTCAAATATTTCTAATTTTCCAGCAACCAAACACTAATTAACAACCACGCAATACATCTGATAGCAAGGCGCTGCACAGGTCAACAACTTGTAACCATTAGCTCTCCCAAACCCACAGCATCATGAAGACCTAGGATCAGTAGTCTTGAAAATCCTTCTTCAAAGGGTTGGATGGTGGCTACATTCTTGAGACTCTTAAACCACTGAAGAAGACTATGTGTGCCTGCCGAGGACACGAGAAATCCTGTCGAAGAAGGAGTGGCACATGGCCATGCTGAAGAGCAAGTCCTCCTTCATCCAGTCTAGAGCCACCTTCTCAATTGTCCCCAATGAGGAGACCCGGTAGAGGAGCTCACCCTCGTCAGTGTCGTCTTTCCTCAACCAGGTCAAGCTGAAGCTATAGCCTGCAAGCAGATGAAATTTTCTCAGCTTCTATTCAGGTTGTGAGCTTAGATGGGCAGAGAGGTCAAGATTACCCAGAGAGAGTAAAAATATCAGAACATAAATACTTGACGAGAACTGGGTCTCAATTTTAAGATAGAGCTGGCAGTAAACGAAGAGACTGAGCTCATAAAAAGCAATATTTTAATAGCAACCCAATGCGACTAAATTGTTAAATGATCGTTGAAATTAGGGTAAGATCTGTAAATGTATTGCAAAACTAAGCACAATTGCCCCACAATTAATAGTTCAGGAAGCATCATACCACGTTGCACCAATTTGATGTGTTCTAAATGTGATACACAATTAAATGATCATAAAATACATGTATCTGGTTCAATCATGTTAATTAGGAAACCCATATAGCTTATATTTCTTTCGGCGGCTTCTCTTTCGAATTTTCATTTGAGGCAATCAAATGGGAGAAAGACAATCTCAAGCACAATACTGCCCTCAAAGAGATAAGAGGTTAGGATCTTACTAAACTGATGCCAAGGTTGTTTGGGTTCATTGTAAATTTAATTGTGGAATGAAGGTTAACCGACAAAAGCCAGGGGTCCTATAAAAAGGTGTTTATCAATTATTGATATTGATGATCAAGCGCTCTGTTGAAAATTTATACAAGAATGAATCAGCCATCTATCCAGGAGTTTCCAGTACATGAAGTTAGTCCAACTGGCTTACTCTACAGATAACCAGGACAAGGCAAACCAGGCTCCAGTGATCACAGATCGTGGTTCTTGGCGGCAAGGTGGTCGTCTGGTCGCTTTAGAAGTAAGGGACTCCTAACGATGGCTATGAATGAGCTAAAAATGTCAGAGCAGGCACTCACCGGCCGAATGGTACCCAGAAACTAGAGATGCACTACACTGGTCGGGTAACGAAAAGAGATGGATACTTAAATCAAAGGAAAACAGCACTGAGACAGACAAAAGAAGCATAGACGCACATTGAAGAAAGAGTAAGAACGGATGCAAGGAAGATAGTTGGCTGCAGACAACCACTACCACGAAGGGTGAAATCAGTTTACCCTTTCAGTTTCTCCCTGTTTCATGGGGAGAAAATGTCCCCTGAACCCAGAGTTCCAAAGACTTAAAGCAAAATGCACAATAAAACAATTTAGGATCACAAGGATCAGAGTTTGATGGTTTTGAAATGAATGAGAGAGTTGCATCAGTTACAAAGATCGTTCATCAAGAAAACAGAATTTTCCCAGCAACAAAGGAGAGAAAAAAGACAGGTTAAATTTTCAAAAAGAATGAACAGTAAGGTTTCAAAAAGAGAATATTTAAACCAAAGCTGCAAATTCTTCATGAAACCAACTATGGCTGCTCCTCTTAATCATCAACAGCTGACACTAAATACTCCCAAGGATAAGCACAATGCACATGTTGAATATCTCTTAAATGATTATCGTTTTAATCTCTAAGTTTAATTTGTCACTTAGGAAGTGGGACAAATTTAATCACATATTCTGAACAAGCATACGATCTTCTAAACAAATATTCATGAAGCTTCAAAAAAGAAAGCAACCACCTCGATTTGATTTCGTTCTTCCCGTTGTCACAAAACATTATGGTAAAAAAAAGGATAAAACTTATTTGAGATTCAAAGAGTACCACTCGATTGGTGAACGACAGAGAGATGCATATCATCCGCTTGATTTTCCACAGCAAATTTCATGCCAACCAAGGATTCGATTAGCATCTGGTAGATGCACCTCACATAATCTTTTTCTTTTCCATCTAAAAGTTTCAAAATATAAACATGAGAAACAACATAAAGAGCATTAGGTTATACAATGACACTACTTGAAGATATAAACCTGAATTGATCATCTTTCTGCCACAGCAATCTGGCTGAGAACCTCCGTCACCATGGCCAAAGCAAAACCAAAATGCCAGCATATATTGTGATAAGAGGATGATCAAAAATCTAAGGACTTCAAAGAAAAAAAGAAGGGCAAGTACGAAATATGCTATCTGGTAAAAGAATAGAATGAAAGTTTTCTGTGAGATACCATGAGATGCTCATTTTGCCGATTATCATGTTGAATGGTGTCAGTCACCTTTGGTGGAAGTTCACCAAGACCATTGTCCAAGTTGGTGTCAATCCTTTCATCAGAACCCAGATATCCTTCTTTGGCAATGCTAGTAGGAGTTGCAAGGGATACGATTTCACCACCTTGAGGCCTAATACTGCGATGGTCTTCAGCTGAAGCCACATTACGAAGCCTCTCAACTTCACTAGAGAGCTCCTCCACTACCCAGGGGAAAAGATTTGAGTAAATAACAGGCAGACCAAAATACACTGGAAATGAATTGTGCATCATATGTATGACATCAACATCCCATGATAAGCTGGTAAAGAAAGAATTACCAGTTCCTATGTACGAGAAAATAGGATATGATGATGTCTTCTCGAAAACATCTGAACTGCACTTTTATTTTACAATTTAAAGAATTTATACAACCAGGCAAAAATTGTCATGTCTCTGCAATTATGCACAGAATTATTCCGTGAAGCAGACAAACAAGAGTGGATATCCCATGAACTAGAATAATGTACCCTGTCGATAAACTATACCATCTGCATAGATACGAAATGTGACCATCATGACGGTCACAACCAGTTCACTACAGAACACTGATCAAAATACATAATTCATGTAAGAACATGAATACTATAAAGTAGTTTTATGATATAGCTTCTAAGGTATCAGCCTCAGAACTGATAGTCTTCAGAAATAGTATGAGTCCAAGCGTCATCAATCCGTTACTGAATTGATATTTGTCAACTCCATTCCATTGAACTCCATATTCATCCCTCTTTTCAAATTCTGATTAATCTATATAGTCCATACCATGTTGTTTGAGCTACAACAAATGATAAATTTCTTTTCCTTTAAGGATATGTTGTGAAATCGAACATACACATAAAAGCCACCAAGATAAGCAATTGCAACCAATCAAAAGAACCAATGCTAGAAGCAAGAATATGACAGCATGAGCATCATCACCAATACCAGCCAGGCACCTACATTACAGTGCGAAGACAACAAACTAGAGAAAAGCGAAATGATGGAAGGGAGATTCTAGATTGGAATGTGCCACTTGATGAGGAGAACTGCTCATCTCTTTCCTTGTCTCCTCACATAAATTATAAAATTAAACTAAAAAACTCGAGAACATATTAGACCTGTTAACCAAGCAGATAGATCTGATTTCCATTTCCTCATGCTTCCACCTTACATCACGCAATAAAACCCAAACCACCCTTACTTGGTAAAAGCAGCATGACAGCATTGGGCACTTAGAGTGGCAACCCATCACGCCTCTTGGATTGTCCACACTACATGGCTTTCCCTGGAATACACCTTGTGGTTCATCAGCTGCCGCCACAACATAAAACTAATGTTTCAACACATTACCACCTATAAACTGATGTAGACACTGATATCAGTTGCCATCCTCCCCAACGAAGATCAACAGAATACATAGGAAGTCTTTGATACCCTCTGTCTCGTCAATATGAGATGTAGCTAGAAAACGGATTGAACTAACCCAGGAGGAAAAGTGAAATCGCAAAACTTGGCTGCTTCAAACTCGGGGTACAACTCAGAATTCTCACAGACAAGTTTAGCTTTAAAAAATACCATTCCACCGTACAAAACTCAGTGTGACACAATCTTGATCCATCATCTAGTTAAGAATTTTAACAAGGCTAAGATCCTTCTAAAGAGACGTGGTCATTTTACGCCGATTTAATTTTTTACTGTTAGTAGTAATATCATGGAAGGAGAAAATAAACATGAGGAAAAAAAACAAACCGAAACGCAGAGGTCATCAATGTCACTCTTGGCTAGCACTGCTATGGCCACTAACACTGTCACCAGCTTTTCTTTTTTGCCCCTTTTCCTTTTCCTGTATTGTGTTTGTCACATGACACGAGTTCAATTGATAAGCTTCTGTTCCCTGAACAACCCATAGCATCTGTCCTAACATGGAGGGAGGGAGTTTAAAACACTTTTGGTTGGCAGATGGGGACTGTAAGTGGGCATCTTTGAAAAGAATACTCTGTCATTATCCTTGTGCTTTACTTGTTGTACATAAATAACGTTGAATAATTTTTAAGCACATCTTTGTATGATTCAGACACTTTCGATAATGTTGGATCAAAGAAAACTTATCGGAAATCAAGATGAATCATTTACAGGTTTATGTTAAAACTGACTTGACTGTTTGGCATACTAATTGAAGTCACGAATTCCAACATTTTACCAGAGTTCTTGGAGTTGAAACGAGTCAACAAGCTTTCGTAATTTTAACTTTATCCAATGTGTGTGAATCAAAGCACCATTGGCTTAAGCTTCTTCAAATTTCATGAAGGAAGTTAATGCATGAGTTTATCAACCGCAGGCTTCTGAGTTTCCGACGTTGAAAATTTCATGGCAAGACGTTGAAATTTTCGTATAATTATGTCACACAATTTAGTCAGATAAGGCTTATGCATGTCCTTCCAAATGTCACCATTAACAACGATAGTTTAGCCCAAGGTGAGTAAAACCCCTGACATACAGCATTTTATCAACCCATGCTTCTCAAAATACAGTCTCACCTTCCCTAGAATACAGCTTAACTACAGAACAGTCATGATATTTTCATCTAGTTATCGTCTATCATCACAATATTATTCCCGATATGCCAAAACTCATAGAAGCTACCTTTACATAGCCCACACAGACTAGCAACCCTTCCCAAATCTTACTTTTTTTTCTTATTTTCACTGTTTTTTGCTATGACTAACCGTATCCAAGGCATGCCATATATTTCGTTGGCTGAATAGATCGTTTTTTCCAGGTCCCTAACATCACATCACGGAAGAAAGCAATGAAGTGAATTATCGAATGTATCAAATTCGTTTAACTAGAATATTTAGAGAACATAATATTTGTTTTCGTTTACGATGACATTCAAGAATCAATGGTTCCCATTAAAAATAAGCATAAAGGTTACATCATATGTGTCTCATGTTTAAATAGAACGCAGAGCAACACAATCAATAGTCTTACTAGTTAATGGAATATTCTTATTTTCTGCACAGAAATTGTAAGTTCTCACCCTTTCGATTTTCTTCCATTAAAGTCTGCTGGTATTCAGCCTGAGAGTCCTCCAAAGACGATCTGTCAACCAAAGACCATATGATAACATACCCAACTCTTCTAGAGAACAAATGCAATATTGCTAACAGTCAATCTTTGGAATTCAATTTACGAGACACAAATTCAAAATCGTGGAAAGGCTTATCAACATAAAGCATACATCTTTTCACGCAGCTGACTATTTTCACTTTTCAAATCTTCGATCATACTCTCCACCGCTGCCAAGGAAGCAAATATTGCGTAACCAATAAGCCGTATGAAACAAAACTACGTTAAAAAAGATAAAGGGGCAAGTGGCACATCGAAAAGAGAGCTTAGACGCATCTAATAAGCACCCACATTTCCTCATCAAGTACAATGCTACCTAATTAAGGCTAGTATCATAGCGAATGTATCCACTATTGAGCTTTTTTCTCTTCCTTCCATGTTGGTTTCTGTGTGAGAGAGAAAGGGAAATCCAATGTGGCAAGTATATTGAGACCACAATAAATTTCATGAGTTCGTAAGGGCTTTATACTGTTGCGGAAATTTTAACAACCTAGGTGGAACATAACACAGTTGGAGAGTATACGTTCTGTCCAAATGGTCAACTACCAGTAAAAGAGTCTATGTACGACTGCACAAAAGAATTACCTGTGAGATACTTCTCGAATTCTCCTTGCACTTTCGCATTACAGTCCGACGCTTCCGAAAGCCTCCTTTTCTGGGGACGTACAGCTTCACATCAAAATAACGTTGAAGGAGAAAATAACCGAGACGATAGCAAAGCTCACAATGACCCTAGTCGACCATTTTGTCCCCTTAACGAAGGCTCTGAGGGAGCCAAAGCAGAAACATAGTCGTGACGGCGACAAACCTTAAGATTCCTATACTTATCGTAAAGCCTAGTGTGAAGCTGCTCCATCTGCACCAGGAGAAGCAGGAAAGGGCAAAAAAATTAAGAAAAATAAGTGATGAAAACAGGAATCGCAGCCCCAAACTTCAGACCATCTTTCTCCGCAAGCCTACGAATCAAGAACGATGCTCCTCTACAGAAAGAAGATTGGCACGTGGACAAGAGAGAAGAGGAGGAGGAAGAACCCTAGAAATCGAAGCAACCTCCGGCGAGCAGACGCAGAGCGAGGAGTAGAAGGATGAGGAGCACGGCGGGAAATCGCGCCGGCAGGCCGAAGCGGAAGCAAGTGGATCTAGTACGCTTACGCTTTCAAATTTTGGGAGTCTCACGTGCCACTAGACAAACCACGTGTCTATACATAAATAAGTTTGAATCTCCAATGAAAAAACTAAAATGTGACGATTAAAATCTTTTGTCATATTAAAATGCAAGATATTAAAATATCATGGGAAAATATTAAAATTTGACAATTAAACCTTTTTCAAATTAAAATCCAAAATATTAAAACTGACGTGTCTAGGCCACATTGTTGTGATTCCAACGAAGGGAATCACATTTTGCTATTATTTTTTATGGTTTTTAAGTTTTTTGGTCCTCACATAACTTTTGAATAACTAATAAATAAATAATTTCATGCTAATTTTTAAATATTTGTAGTCCTTGACCACAAAATCCTCCACTCTAGTAAAATTGATTTTTCAAAAATCCAATATTCCTCAATCCTGATTTTTGCTTACGCCTAGTAGCTTTGGGGTGATGACTTGGCCATCCTATTAGTCAACCCCCCCCCCCATCTCAGTCAAACCCTAGCTTCCATCCTCCCCTTCCTGTCTAGCCATTCAAGCAATTCATTGTTCTGCTTTATGTGATATTTTGTTAGATTTTGTATGATCATACTTGGTAGCTGCTGACATTTACCTTGTTATTACAGCAATAGTGATAAATTTGTATGCCACTGCAAACAAATTCAAACCAAAAAACTATTTTGTTTCAGCAAATGTGTATTAATTTATATACAATTTAGATCATGAATAGAAGAACAACTTAATTAAGAGAGCTAACATAACTCCTGTATATAAAAATAGGGTTATCCCCATAATGATTGAGTACCTTAACATTATGGAATGTGTAAAAGTGTGAATAAATGTTCTTCATTCAATGAATTTGAGTTGTTGAACAACTAGCGATTTTTCATAGTTCCTTGTAAATTATATGTTTTTAAAAAGTATTTGGAGATAATTATTTTAGGGAATCAACTAATACGAAGTGCACAATCAGTTAATTACTTTCTAAAATTATAAAAATTATATATTTAAACCTTGTCCTTCAGTATTAGTAGCATTTTTATATGGTTCACAGTCACATTTCCTTCAAAAAACTCAATAATATACTAGCAATATTCCATTTTAAGCCTCAATCACATTAATACATTTTAGGTGATTAATATAAGTTACAAAGATCACTTTTCCTAGCATTTATGAGAAACACAATTAGTGAAGCCATGATAATTATTCTAATGACCTCTCCTTGCCAATCAAAGTTAAAATGATATTATTATTATCTAATGCTTGAATTTTCATTTTTATGCATATGCTTCTATCATCAGTTATCCTATTTACCCTCAATTATTCTCTAGTCTCTTTCACTATCAGCAATTAGTCTATTGGCCCTATTACTTTGACCACCAAGTTGATCATTGTGATTATGAAGGTGGTCAATAACGTAGCATTCAATCAGTCAGTACCTTGAGAATGGCTTTCTAGGATACAATCGACTATGATATGAAATATAGGATTAACAAATTACAATGGGCATTAAAGTCTAATCCACAAGAGTAATCATTGGTCAACGAGGAGATACATGGGCTTGATCTTCAGCCTACTGAACTTGGAAAATAGACTTTATTGCCCACATGAAAGAGTCTCATGTTATTGCCACCAACAATCCCATGAAACACAAGGAAAATAAAAGAATTAGGAAAAGGCAGGCATATATGATAGCTTAAGAACTCACTCTTTCTACAACACGGCACAGGCCAGCAGTTGTCTTAGCCACAGATAGTAACTTCACACCAGGCCTAGTGGTATAGAGTTTTCTTCTGGAGAAGGGCAGTGAAAGTATGGCGTTAGACTACAAAACTCTGGGCACCTCAGGCAGACGAAAATGCAATGAATTCATGAGAGCAGCAGCCTGCCTCACTGAAGGAAGATTAGGAGCTCTTTAGGGCTGACAAAGCATCTTTTGTGGCTGCAGATATGACGGCGTCGGAAGCATTGGGCAAATAGTAGTATTTTCCTGTCAGAACATAGAGAAGTTGGGATATCAAAATGGGGATCTAAATATGTGAGAAAATTGAACCCATTCAAGTTAAGACTAATTGGTAAATACTGGTACATGTTCATATATTTTAAGTTCAGGGTTTACTTGCCATGCTTATCCTGGGTGTATATGAAAATGGGGATCCAAATCTGTGAGAAAAATGAACTATCTAAGTTAAAACTGATTGGCAGAGAGTGGTGTAGGTGCATATGTTTCAACTACAGGGTTTAAGGGGAAAGCTGAGTTTTTTCTATCTACTCCACTATGTGAGCAACATAGCAGTCAAAATGGGAGACAAGGGTCTGAATACCATTTGAGAGAATTGAACTAATATGAGCGAAATTTATGTGCAAAGTAGAGATATTTGTTCTAACAAAACATTGCTTACCTTGGGCTACTCTAGCTATCTCTTTGGCAAAACCAGTAGACACAAACTTGTTTTCTGTGTCAATAACCAGCAGGGACATCCCCGCCTTGTATATTTTTGCTGCCACGTCCAGGATTTCATCCTTGAAGGAAAACACATCAAATAAGATTATGAATAAAATAAATATATTAAAAATTAAAAACGATTCAGATATCCGCTAGATGATTGAAAGCCTAGAATGGAAATTTGCTAAGTTTCTGAGAGGCGGGTGAAAAGAATCAGTGGCTCAGGGTCCCTTAGGAAATTACCTTCAGTTCTTGAGAAGAAGGTCTAGGGGTATCAGGTGTTTCTGCCTCAGGGTCGGTGGATTTTTTCAATGAGATATTGGCCCTTCCATCAGTAATTGCAACAATCATAATCCGCCCTACATCACCACTCTTCTCGGCATTCAGCCCAACCCGCACAGCCTGGTCCATGATCATATAATGATGTCAAATACAGTAGGCAGAATGGAATCATTTAGACAAAAAGGGACGAACTGAGAGGAGTTATATAATACCGTGCTAAGACCATGAGCTAAGGGAGAACCCCCACCACATGGTAATCTCTCGAGTCGTTTGCGGGCCATAGAAATTGACCTTGACGGAGGTAGAAGTACTTCAGCAGCATCACCACGGAAAGGGATGATCGAGACCTGAATAAAACATAATCAATCAGTCAAATACATAAGAACATATGCCAAATAATCGTGATAATTGTAGCTTAACCTGCCATCAGGAAAGCAAAACATAGTTCAACTGTTGCAATCTCGACAATTTTCTTCCATTAATGCTATCAGTCTGCAGCCTTAGCCTTATCCTCATGATCCATCCTCATCCTTAACCTAGTCCTTAAAAAATTGCTATAATTAGAACCTCAATGTTTTCCATCAGACAACAATACTACTCTTATAAAGATTTTCGTCTTTTACTTTCTCGAGTAATGAGTTTTTCAAAGAAATGTCAGGCTTAGATATAATCTGGATAACTTTTCTATTAAAATAATGGAAATTCTTTAAAGTTAGAAGCATATTACAGATCTGACTGTGAAGAAAATATACTACGATTTCAATAGAATATGAGCAAAAAAAATCATTGCAGTATTTATTTAAAATAAATTGGAAGAGTTTTTACATTTTACCAATTTAATAGCCCCTTGATATTACAACAAATAACTAAGCTTATGTGCATAAATAAAGGTCTTGCGAACATTTACACAGACCTTGACAGAGTAAGTTGAGAAGGGAGAAATTTATGGAAAGACAGTAGTAAGAGAACTGTTGGGGACTATTTGAAACGCTTTTTAATGCAAAAAACTAGCCGATGATAATCATTATTCATCTTCTCATTGATTGCCAAAACAACATTATATTATATTTGACATAAACAATGATATGCTCCGATAATTGGACAAATGGGTTCACAAATATTAAGGCACACAGTAGGGAACAGAGTTCCTCTAACAGTAACAGAACTCCTTCGAAAAATTACATTATTTTCCTATCTATAGGATTTCAAATAGACGGAAAACTAGAGATTTATATTTCCTTTTTTAGTTTTAAAGTTAACCAGTAAAGGATATGAGCTTACGGGTGATATAAAATAGAAGTGTTTTACGTTTTCAAGCCATTCAGTAATTTCGATTAGAGCTCCCCCCAATATTCTCCCATTCCCAAAAGATTTCATACTCTTGTAACATGGCAGAGACAAAAAGAATTTTCTGTGACAGTTTTAAGACGTCTCTTTCATTACAAGGAAAGAAATATGCAAGTATCCTTAATAGTGGTGCTAAACTATCGCTCCCTTTCACACATCTGAGATCATAACTACAAGAGAGAGATTCGCTGATAAGGAGAGATCTCCTTTTCGTTATTGCTGATTTTTATAAACAGTCTTTCTTCTCTCCTTGAGAACGTGTTCTCATATCATCATCATACAACATATATTTCTTCTGTGTTTACTTGACTACTTTGTCTCTATATTTTTTTTTCAAAGTGACCTAGGTTCATCATAAAAATCATGCGAACCGAACTCTGACAGATTGATGGTGTGTCTTACTGTCATAGAACCAGTATAGCCATGATATATACTCATCCAATGCCTGAGCCTGCTTATCTATCACCATGTCAACCATCATGCAGCTTCCTGACATGTGATCAAACAAGAAAACCAGTTATTACTTCTAGTTTCTAAGTCACTGCACACGACGGCGATTTCCCTTGCATGAAAGTCCACCAATATAGCATGAAAGTTTCATTATATGTTGAAAAGAATGCCCTCAACCTTGAATGGTGAGTGATGATGACTTGCCATGATCCAACCCCATAATCGGCAGCCACAGGGTGATCAGAATTTGGGCAGGATAACATTTGTTGCGAGGTAAAAGATTAAATCATTAAGAGAAACTTTTCGGAATCCGCACAACAATCATAAGAATTATCTCATATTCCTGGACACAGGCTTCAAGAGGACTTAATCATCATAATCATGAATTGAATGCATACCAGGAATGAATTCAAGAGGACCAAAGCCACTAATCATACATATACACAAAACTACATATCCTGTTAACAAGATAGTCATTATGTAACTTAATGCCAAGTAGGAAGGAATGCCCAAGGCGGAAATCCTGATAGAAGTGAAACTATCTACCGATTAGACTGAATAACTACACTGGGCGCATGATTTTTGTAGTTGAATTTGTACCTGATCTCTGCTTGTATAACTTTCAGCAAGTAACTTTAACGCTGCACCTTTTGCATTCTGCATGCGGTTCAGCGCCATACTTCCACTTGCATCGACAACAAAAATCACCTGTATATAACTACTGCTGTAAGTAAAAGGTGATATTGCTCAAATTTGACAATGGAGAAAGAAACACAATTGAGTAAAGAATCATTGAGAAAATGTGACGGCCGAAATCTAGAAAATCCTTTTCCATGCAAACAAAAAACATCTGTCACATCTATAAAACTTGTAGAATAAATACACTATTAATATCAAAACAATGAACGGTCATGCATATGTAAATCACCTTTTCCTCAGAGAAAGAAGAATGTCTAATTGTGCGCATAATAACTGCGTGAGCAAATTCGTAGGTTTAAAACATTATAAAATATTTTATATAGAAAATTGAAATTCCCACGTTCCTCTACTTGTTAGGTTGGTAACATGGAAACAAACTCCAGCAAAATATTTCTGGAAGGGTGTGAACAAACCAGTGCCCCAGCTTTTCTAGCCATTCTTTTTGCTCTCATATCAGTTTTTTCGACAAAAACTTTCCTTGTTTTGTCAATGTCCTTCTCCCTACGCAGCTTTTGGTATGGTGCAGCTGCTCTAAGAGTGGCATCCACAGCTAATCTTTTCACGGGTCCCTGCATAAGACAAGACACACAACCTTTGTCAAATCCCTGTAAATAGTTAGCTTCCTCAACAGATAAATATCATTCTTCCATCCAGTGATAGTTCCTTCATGCCCCACTGACATTAGATAACTAAGAAGTGTAGCGTATCAGTGAATACTAATGCTTTATCTCATAGAGAGCCAGAATTGGGACTCTAAAGATACTGTGCGCAACCAAAAGCATTCCTCAAACTGCAGCATAAGGTGGCAAACCTTTGGAAGCATAGGCTTTATGTATCGCCCCCTATCTTCTGAAAATATGACATTCTTGGCTCTCCCAGCTTTACCTCGTCGTCGCTGTGCTTGTTGTGCAAAGAAGAGAAGTTTTTCATCAACTAAACCACCTTCAGCATCAAATATAAATTCCTCGGGTATTTGTGGCTCTTGTTCTTCATTTTCTTCTTCATTATCTTCATCTTCCTGGTCACCATTCACCAAGATCACATGATTTCACTTTCAGTTAAAGATGCAAAATATCCCAAATTCACTTCTTGGATAAATCAGATAAATCAGGGATTCTTATAAAACCAACCTCCTCATCTTCTTCCTGGTTCTCATCCTCTGGGGAATCCTGACTTTGTGGAGGGGGTGGCGGTGGTGGAGGTGGCTGGTTTTGTTGATCTTGTGGGTTTTCACTGAGTATTGAACGTGGAAGAATGACCAGCTCTACCTGCAGTGAGAAATAAGGATGAAAAACTTTTCACAACAGAAAATCTAGGATGACCATGCAATTTGATTATTATTATCAAACCCCTCAAAAAACCTCACCCAATAATCTATGCTTAGTTAAAAAAATTGAGAGTAATCTGAGGATCTGGCAAGCCATAAGCTGCTTAACGTGGCATAAACCAGTTGAGAAGGGGGGGGGGGCAGTTTCTTCTCAGGTTAGAACTACGGAAAGTAATATGGAGCTCATGTTGATTGGAACAAAGCACCCTTAACAGATTAAAGATGTTGAAAATCATGTTTCACGATCAGGGACAATGCTAAACCAATAGTGACGATGTTGTATCAGAAATATACTTAACTGCTTTCTTGAGGTCGTCAACGTTCACCCTTTCCCGCCCCTCCAGTGCTGCTAGAGATTTCGCTACTCGTGCAGCATATAGCTCAGCCCGGTGCCCCTGGGCCAACAAGTCCTTTTTATCAACTAGTTGCCAGTATTTTCAAGAAAATTTAAAGGATCTGATAATATCACATTCAAATCATAATAAAAAAAGTGACAGAATTCAGTGTTACAACATAACTCGTGGTCTATCGATAAAACTTTCGAGAAATGGCGACACATATTGATGAAAATAGTACCATCACTTAAACTCTTGCATCATCCATATCTTCTTGTGCAAGAGAACAATACACTCAAAAAACTAGACTGAAGGTGATTATGTCATGGATATCTGGATGATATAGAATGGAGATGACATCCCAAGATGAGTCAGGAGAAAGACCTAATGTTGAGATCAGTGAGGTTCTAAGGAGAAACTTGTGATTGAACAACTAAGCAGATAACCTATTGGTGAAATAAAGATACCAGAAAATTTTACCATACTCATAGGTGTCTTCAAGTGGTGTTGGTGCAGCTGCTGATCGCATGCATATTAGAAACATCTGCCTTATCTAGAAGATGATGTCCATAGGTAACAGATGGTGGAACTGCTCTTCCCCCATACGCTTCAGTAATGGTTGGCTCGGCCAGGGATGAATCTCAAACTGCCAAGGGCTATCTAAGGCAGAAATGGTGCAGGAAGATGGCACTAGCATTGAGGGAAGAGCTGATCCGGAAAAGAAAGGGAATGTGTGGATGATAGAGGGCTAAAACGAAACAGGAGAGAAATGGATCGAGATAACTAGGATTTCAGAACGAGGGAGAAATTAAAATTAGCCATATAATTCCAAACTCGACCCCGACCCCTTCTTGGGCTCTACGTTTCGTTATATAATGCAAGGTTCTCTCAGAATACAACGTTAGTTTGAACTCAAACTATAACTGAAACAAAGAAATCGTATCCTTCAAATCTCTCGATCTTAAATTCTCATGTTATCTCCCTTGAAACAGCATTTTGAAGTTCGAAACTTTATCCATTAACTAGCGGAAATTAGATGCAAGACTTTGAACCTTGAGCTTCATTCTTCCTTCAACCATAGGTTCCTTTGGTTGTTTCCATGGTTCTTTAAGAGCAAATTTTTTTATATGAGATCAGATCTCCAACAAATACTACAAGCCCCGATAAGGAAAATCAGATAATGTTATAGCATGATGCTATCTAATGTATTCGAGTAAAAAAAACTACATAATAATTCGTGTACATAAAACTGAAGTTGAGAGAGAGAAAAAAAGTTGTAATGCGCTTTATCAACGATGGCTTAAATAAAAGTGCAAGAAATGAGTTCAGTAATACGAACCTGGCAACCACCTCGTACGGCTTCAAGTACAAGGTATTTCAATTGTTCTCTGGTTATACTGACTTCTTTTAAATACTCTCTTGCTAAAATAATCTGCATAAAAGACGTTGTGTCAAAGTCGAGATTCCAGAACTGCTTCATGACCTCACATAATTTGGATGAAGAGATATGTACTATTCAGCCATAATCTTGCTATTCTGTGATTAAAATAATACATTTCTTGTAAAATAGCAAACATTTCTTGTAAACATGACATACTTTGGAAATTATACCACATATATTCCCAAATACATCTCCATCTGTACGATAAATCTTTAAATTAGAAGTTTATGACCAAAAGAACATAGAAACATTAATGATGCTAATGAATGCATGCACTTTTTTTTTTTGTTGAGATCTCGAATGAATCATTCCACAATGTTTATTCAACTTAAAGTTCGATCAAGATTGATACAAAAACACAACTTTTGTCTCTGCGATAAAACATAATCCTGGACTGCCTGATTTTCCCACCATTTCACAATCATAGTTTCCCAATGGAATGAAAACATTGGTGCCATCCATCAATAACAGAACCCAGGGAATCTTAGGCGTTCCACATTCAAATATCCGTACCAGGTGTCAAAGGTGAGTCAGATGACTTTTTTGACATAAAATAAGGAATAACTTTCAGAACAGGAAACGAAATACCGTTATTTCGTTGTCCCTTTCATAGGGATATTAAAACAACAACTCTGTTATGATTGTCACCAAGGTCCAGACAAACGCATTTGGTATTCAGGATAGTGTTGGTGTCACATCTAAACAAGAAGATCATTTTGCTGATACTCAAATAAATGTCTCTGAACATTCACAATACGATAAATATAGGGATGACAACGCCCAGACTGACTATTATAGCAGAGGAAACTGGCACCCATAGGAATAGCCATATGATTGCACTATTCTGAAATTATCTTATTTCAGTTCTATACCAAATAATGAACTTCGTAGTCATAGGATTCTGCTTGAGATATACATTATTTTTCAAAGGATCAGTTCAACAGTAAATAAGATAACTACTTTAATCACATTACATGTAATAATAACGTTTCCTTTTTAATGAGTTCCGTTATCAGGGAAATTAACTTATTGTATGTTTAACACACCATGATCTTCTTTCCAAATTCTTCAAATGGTCACTGTGAAGCAGACTTGATAGGGCTGAAAATTTTGCTTCAAGACATTGGAATGAAGCTTGAACACCAAATAGAGTCATTCTGTTACAATAAAGTTTCCATGAATACTTTCCAGTAATCCAGCGCCACATGAAGGACCAACCACATCGAGACTGGTAGACATCATATTAGAAAGAGAATGGTGTCAGAGACATGAGATTTGAAGCCTACAACGAAACGTGATATTCGTACTTAAATATCATTATTTGCTAAGCTCACTTTCATTTTATGTTATACCAGATCTACCACTGTTTTCATTTTTGTATAAATGTAATTTATTCATTGATTTTGCAGTTTTCTAGGTATCCCAATTAATAATGAAATTAAATTGAACTTAAGGTTTATTTTCTTTCTAAAAAGGCGTAATTATCTGAAAATAATTGAATGTCACTTTTATATTCAAATAATATTACATGGTCCTGAGAGGTGTTTTTGACATTGCCTCATCATATGAGAATTCTGGTACAGAACCATTCCCCTGGTCACCTTAAAATCTATGCATAAAAGTTCGGACTCATACTTTTATCCTGTGTACATTGTTTTACTTATCAGCCTTGATTTTCTCAAAAACATCAGTATCACGTTTATCAAGAGGAGGAAAAAAGGAATTTACATAGTAAGGATAACAAAAAAAGGAGTGGTATATCAAAAGTAAGGATGAAGTTTCCTATGATCTACATCTTTGTCATCGTATGAATTTATATCATCCAAAGACCAACTAAGATACAAAGTGACTGCAGGAGCAGTGAGTCAAGTTAGCCAAATGGTTCAATCATTATATGCAAAGTCGATGATTCCCAAGCTTGGAAGGTTCCACTTTATCGTTATTCAAGTTCATTTAAGTCCAAGGTTCCATAATACCGGTATTCCGATTTTCAATCAGTTACCCAGGGACATTTTCCCTCTTCAACCCATAACTGAAAGCAACTGAAAGCTACTAATCAGAGGACTATCTTCCATCCACTACTCTCGTCAATCTTATTAAGCACTGTAGTTCAATCAATAAACGATTCAGCTAAAATCGTTCTTGTTCACCCACAAGCATCAACAAGAACTTGCATGAACAATCCAAGCTTCACTGCTACGGAAATTCGCCAAATTAAGTAGAAACATATTCCTTTTATCCTCCCCCATTGGACTTCTGCAATTTAGGGATACCCTACAAAATACATATTCTAAAACAGCAGGTTTCCTTATTATGACTACCAGACCATCTTATAGTCCAACACCCAGAACTTGATTGTTGACATGATTGAGCACAAAACGTTTCCACAGATACTATACCCCGGGATCCTTTCATAGATTCCTACATATATATGCTGAATTGAAACGGAAAGAAAGGTCTCCAAAGAAGTAAAAACATGATTTTACTTAGAAATACCTGTGTCTTTGCAAAATCCGTCTCTTCCTCGACCATTTTAAAAACTTCTTTGCTAGATTCTTGAAATTGGGTTGCAATGCCAACAGCAGCAACCCTATCGTCAAAGCCCAGTGGAAGGTCTGCACTGCAGAAATTTAGCACGAAGTGAGTAAGAAAAATCAAGTATTCTTGATGAGACGAACAATACATATTTCACTCAGAGTAGAAACGCATAGAAACAATTGCATCCATTGACTGAATGAGCATGTGAAGAAACGCACAGAATAAAAATTGCCAAATTTGGCTGTCTGATCTTATGCGTTAATGTTTGCAGCCAATTCCTCCACAATCTAGCAAACCTTCCTGATTTCTAAATTGGGTACTGAACATTGTAATGTGAATCTGTAAGAAATGCCCTATTCTGTAGACTAGAGGAAGTTGCTACAAAAGCACTGAATTGACAAGAAGAGATTCATACATCCTAGAACTAGCATTTCAGAGGACCATAATACCTTAAATTAATTGCAATTCGATCTAATAAGTGTTCCCGCACTGAGCCTTCCTCAGGGTTGTACGTTGCAATCAGAAGTGGCTTGCAGGGATGACGAAAACTGATTCCTTCTCTTTCCACAATGTTAACACCCTCTGTAAGAACATTCAAAAGCAGATTACTAATACCTTCATCTAGAAGGTTTATCTCGTCAACATATAAGACACCTCTATGTGCCTCAGCTAGGAGTCCTGGTTGGAAAACTGTTGTTCCTGATTTCACCGACTCTTCAACATCAACAGACCCAATAAGTCTATCTTCTGTAACACCAAGTGGGATCTGCAGCACAGTTCATGCGCCACACATTAGAAACCCACACAGACACTGTGAAGGTGGGAGATTTGGTCTAATGGCATTACCTGAATAAAAGGTGTCCGAACAATCTCCGTCTTGACATTTCCATCAGTATCATACTCCACACGTTCAGCTAGTCCGTCTTCCCATCTTAAAAAATCAATTCAAACATTCAGAGGACACAGGAAAGAATGATATGTGAATCTCATAAATAAGACAATCATGACATGTTTCTGGCTATTTTTCATGGTGCTGGATAATCAGGTAAGTACTGGAAAAATATTTGAAGGTCAAGGTTCTCATATGACACCCACAAAGTTCGTCATATTTTCTCCTGCCATTCAGTAATCACCTTGGTAAAAAAATGAATGCTGGTTTTCTACTAAGAAGAGAGAAGTGCTAATCAAAAAGGAAAATAGAAACTGAAACAAACGAAGTAGAAATGGAAGTCCTGAAAAGAAACCATAAGCTAACATTTAAAGGGTTGAAACAAAAAAATAAAACTTGAAACTACAGGTCAAATCATTAAATAAATCCATGTGACAAGAGTGTAACCTGATTGGAAATTTTAGTCAATTCTGGTGGTTGAACACTATCCAGAAAAATGGTGCATTGCTCCATATTATACGTCCAATACTATCGGTATATTATGCATTTGTGTCATATATATCTATTCCCCTTGAAGAAGGAGACAATATTTCATTTATCAAACTTTCGTTTCCAACACATCGAACAAAATCCCAGTTCAGAACCATAATGTAAAATTATGTAAAGTTTGATGATCTTTACTGAGTGATTTAGCCAATAATCATGTGTCACTAGTTGGGCTGGCCAGTACACAGCTGTATTATTTTACACTAAAATCGTCAATAAAGTATGACATCTAATAGATAGACGTTATGACAAGAGAAATAATCAAGGGAAAACGAATGTTATTTATCTGATATTCAATCAGTGTAAAAAATTTAACGCAAAACAAATAATGCATAGTGCTTTTAATTTACTTCCATGCCATAAGCATGATTATTCATAAGGTTGCAGGATGATTTCTAGCGTCAGATTTATCAATGCTAGTTCGGTGTCCATCCTATAATAACATCCCTGGTGAACGTTAAAATGGATCCTAAGACAGTGCACTTTCCAGAGCATGGCTTCGTTTTGTGCCACATCCTTGTAACTCCAGAGACAAAGAACATCTGTCAACAATGTGAAGATTACTTGATTCCAGAAAGACTTCCCGAAGGGAGTCAAATCATACTCCTCTCCAAGTATGGTCTAATACCATTATCCGGTTTATCTTCGTGTACAAGAACTAGTCAACAAACTTGATGGTATTCGTTGAACTATTCATCAACACTGAGATTCTACTGAAAAGAAACAATAATGCAAACTTTACATATATGTGAAGAAACGATTATCAGGTAACCTTACTCTTCAGGCCGTGCTGGATCTGCATTTGATATGGAACCTGGCACTACTTCAATAGGAGGAAGCATAGCATGCAACCCACGTGCCATCACTGTTTTTGCTGTTCCCCGCTTGCCAGAGATCGCAATCCCTCCAATCTCTCGGTCAATAGCTCCAAGCAATAAAGCTGTCTTAATAGCATCCTGTGAAATCAACATAGAACAAAAGAAATGATGAACTTAAAATTATGGGCTCATGATTGCAAACATGCTCAATGAGAAGAAGGGGAAGTACAACTAGCCAACCGTCTTCCAAGGTAATAAGGATATCTATCACCAAAATAAAGCCTAGACTACCACTGTAAGAATAAAACTAAATGAACAATGGTTTTCACGAACAAAAAGAACTGCTTGGTTCCCAGTAAACAAAGCTTCCAAAGATTCCAAGAAAAAGAAACGGAGGAACCTTTCTTAAATCCATGAGACCGAAATCTAAAAAATATTACAAAAACATCAGCAGAACCAAAAACAAGAGCAAGCCATAGTTAAATCAGTCTTAGGAACAAGTAGCAGTTCAAGAAAGTGGATGAATACGTGGCATTTAGTCTCAGGCAAAGCCAATCTCATATGCTTCAAATTGGTGGCTAAGATATCAAAATTTTGCAAAACAATTATCAAAAATTTAATAAAGTATAAATTGATAAATAAAATAGCACAGAAAGAATAAGCCCACGACGATTCACCAGCCCCAACGCAAATGCAGTTCGAACAGCTAACAAGAAGCACTACAATTACACGAGAAAGCCAGCAACCCAACCTGCCCAACGACGGCAGCCAGGGGGAAGAACTGCCGCCCGTATTCTCCGGCCTCTGCCGGCGGCTTTGGAGCGGCGACGGCGCCGTTGGACTCCACTGTTGCCGTCGCCGCGACAGAAAACCGCGGCGGCACCCGCCCGGGAGTGCGGCACTGGAGAGGCTTGCATTTAGAAGAAGAGAGAAAGGATCTGGACTTGAAACTCGAGGAGAGCGCAGAGGTCTGGAGTGGAGTGAGGGAGGAGGTCGCCATTGCTCGTCTCCCGTGCCACACTACCCTCAGCAGTGACCGTGTCTTTAGCCCGGTCTCCTTATCTTGCCAGAGTCTATCCTCCTAACGGCTCGCCAGGTGGCACACAAGTGCCAAGCTGTCCAACCACCATCCGACACCTGGAATTATTTCAGCATTCCATAAGGTTTAAAGCACTATTTACCGACGTATATATTTTTAGGCCGCTTTTTATTTTGTGTATATAATCTTTTTCTATATAAATTTCATGCACAAAATGACTCCAAGTTTGCATAATTAAATCTTTTCGACGGCCAAAATTATTGATACCAAAATTAGTTTGATAATCTACATGAAAACCCCTCATCGCCATCAAAGTAATCATAAATGAAATAAATCTATATCTAAAAATAATTATTTAATCCACATTTTTTAGAGCAACCATGTTTATCCATAGTGGAGATAGCACCACCCCAGCCCTACATGTTATTAGTGTGTTTACTATTTATTTCCAATTTTTTAATATATATATAACATTTTCATTCATATTATTGAAACAAGAGAGAGAGAGAGAGAGAGAGAGAGAGATGTACAGGGTTTTAGCTGACTTCTAAGGGTAAGCCCTATTGCCTATTTCAATTTATGGGGGGAGTTTGTGGGCCACCCAAAAACCTTAGCGTTAATGTAATAACACGATTTATTCAAAATCAACAATATATCCGTTTCCTATTGAAAGCAGCCTTTTCCGAAAATAAGTTAATAGTACACAAAAATACAGTTTTTTCATAAAAAGAAATATTAGATAATCACCTCATTATTCTCTTAATTCTGGAATTTACACGCCGTATAAATATTGAAATCCATGAAAGAAAATGACCTGAAATTAATGCTCCCGAATGCGTCCACGCGTCCGGATCTTATTAGCTACAGGGCCTCGGTCAACTACGCGGGCAGCAGCCTCTTCGCCGTCTTGCGTACGGCGGCTGGAACCTCATTCTCTGGACCTCTCCCGATACGGAAATAAATGCGCGTTGCCGTATTCTGGATGTCTTCCTGAAAAGGGAAAATATTGCGCGTTGACTTTAGGCCATTAATCAAGATGAGGATCCGACGGATCGTCGATGAAGATTATCCGAAAGGAGGTGTTAATGATTACATATAATCGAAATATTATACACGAGTAAATATTAAAATATTAAATGATGTTTTAATTTGAGTTTATGGGGTCCAGTCAAAGAGCCAAGTTGAGACAGGCGATGGGGACTTTTTTTTGGTATTTTTGGTAAATATGATGGAGGTGGGTAAAGTATTTAACGTGAAATATTGCATGAATATTTGTGGGGCCTTTTTTTATCAGAAACTATTTTGTTCAGAAAAAAGGTTAGTGCCCACATTTATTCATTAAATACCAAGTTTATGTGAACCTGGAAAGTAGTTTATAATTTAATTCCTGGCAATGTATTAATTATTATTTATAAATCTAATTAGAAAAATATAAGATGTAAATAATTGCCGAGTGCTTAAAGAGGGTGAGAGGGAGGGAGGGAGGGAGAGAGAGAGAGAGAGAGAGAGAGAGAGAGAGAGAGAGAGAGAGAGAGGAGATCCAAGTCACTGTCCAACGGGATAGTAGTCTTTGAGGACCTCACCACCATGAGGCTGCTTCATCTTTCTTCAATCTCTCTCTCTTCTCTGTCTCCTTGTGTCTCTGTCTGTCTCTCCGTGTTCTCTGTGTTCTCATGGTGTGGGGACATCGATGAGTGGATTCCCTCAGGAGGGAGTAGATGGCTTCCGCCGGCGAAGGCACTAGTATTGGGACGGCTGTGGAAGCTGCTGTCCCGTGCACGTTGCTCGGGCTGCTGCTGCAGGGGAAGAGCGCGGGGGCGTCTTCTGATGCAGTTGGTGATCGCAGCGGGATATGTTTCATGAGGGAGTATGCTGCCAGAGCAACGAATATTGTGCTATGGGCGGTACTAATTGCTGTGACGGTGATTCTTCTGCGGAGGCTCGGGAGGGTGGTGAGGTTCTGGGCTAAAGGGAGCCGGATCCCCGGACCACCAATCCTATCGTTCTATAGGCACTCGAAGCTCATCCCAGAGTGGGGTGATCTCACCGGTTAGTCTTGATCTGAGTTTCCTGGATCAGTTGTCGTGAAGAATTATGGAGTGCACCGCGGATTCTGATGTCTTTCTTTGAGGCTTGTCATGTGATCTATCATGCAATATTATTTTATCAACCATAAGCTAGAAATTAATCTGTGTGATGAAACTTGAGCAATTGTTCACAATTCCACAATTGTACAACGGAATTTTGCTACCTGTTTATTTTTTCTCACTGCTAATATCCTTTGCAATTCACTATTTACATTTTACAAACGAGCAAACGGTTCAGCTGAGAGGGGGCGAATTCTTGTCGTTTACATAGTCTTGGTATTTTATGATTTTATGCATTCTTTCAGGGAAAAATGAAGCTGTGGATAATATGTATGCCCTCTTCATCCGTTGTTAGGAAATATGTTACTGTATAGTTTACATTCACTGAGCGCTATCCTTTGAGTGGTATCTTTTGCCCGTTAGTTTCTTTGGTGGTTAATATTAGTTTTCTCTTGCATTTATGTAATTCTTTTTCCAGTGTTGTTGTTAATGTACTTACTTTGAGTTTTCAAACTGTAAAGGTTATTTGTCAAAGTTGCATGAGATCTATGGGCCTATCGTTCGACTTTGGTTGAGTCCGACTGAGCTTGTGGTGTCTGTAACTGATCTATCACTGATAAAAGAGGTGCTTATCAAAGAAGAAGACAAGTCACCACTGCCTGGAAGGTTATTTCGTTTGGCTTTTGGTGACTCTAGCCTCTTTGCTCCGTCCTTTGACTTGGTACGTCCGACACGCTTTTCATATCTCTGGGATAATGCTAACCAAAGTGTGTTGTTTTCCCTTGAACCAATGCGTGATACATGTTTTGTCCCTTTTTTAAAAATTTTGGTTATGAACTTGTTGTTATAGGTTAGGCTACTGTGGATTGCGTCAGCGCTTATGTGAGGGTTTAGTTTGGTTCCATTCTCGTGAAGCCTGTTTTTCGTTTGAGACATGTCTTCTATTCTTTTTCACTCTAGCTTGTCCCACGATCTTGATATTGCTTGAAAATCCGGCATCATGGACCTTGTTCACCTATGTTTTTTGACCAGGGTTTTTATTTGGTTGTTTAAGGAGAGTTATTTTTGAAGTCTTTGCATGCTAAATCGAATTAAGAGGCTTCTTTGCGGTTTTAATTGACCTGATTATTTTTTAAAATCAAATGTACGTAGAATGTGGGCTTTTTGACATCAAGCTCAATATGTATCATTTGTTCACTGATCGCTTTCCTGCAGGTACAACAGAGAAGAGAATCACTTGAAATCCAGTTGAATGGCGTGCTGCTTGGAAAATCAAGTTCAATTCCGTTGAAAGTTCTGGACTGCATAGTGAAAAAAATTGATGCCTTTATGGCTGAAGGGCCTGTGGATTGCGAAGAAATGTCTCAATGCGTAGCCTTCTCCATTATTGGATCCACACTTTTCGGACATTCATTTTTGACTTGGTCTAATGCAGATACCTATCGAGAGCTTCTTATGAGGGTTGCAAAGGATGCTAGTTTTTGGGCCTCCTACAATATTCCTCCCATTTGGAAAAGAGGATTTTGGAGGTACTGGCGGTTATGCACTAGATTAAAAGGTCTAACAAGGGATATCCTTGTACAATGTGGAAGGAGTTACACTTCCTTCGAGAAAACTGGCCAAACTTCATGGAAGGAAACTGCCGAGTATGGTACCTTTGAAAAAGGCATGCTTCTAGGGGAATTAAACTTGCACCTTATTTTAGAGGATGAACCATATGGGAATATAATGGGAATGATGTTCCATGGATATTTGAAAATATCTGGATTGATTAATAATATCCTGATAAAGCTTGTCCTGAATCCAGAAATGCAGGAAAAGGTTATTTCATTTCCCTGTTATTCTCCTTCAAGGCTTACTCCAGATTTCATTTATCAAATCTATTAAAAATATTTAATGATGGCTCATATCTCAGTTCATGGCTTTTTACAATTCCGAGTTCCTCAGTTATTTTTCTTGAGACAAAAGCTATATAGATTTTAAAATTCTGAATTGTTGAAATTTACTAATAAATATGTTAAGAAAGATTTGGGAAGTGTGACTAATGCTTGTAACCAGAAATAGCTAGAAATGACTAATGCCTCTCTTTTAGTTGCTGTACTCTGAACCTTGCATACCATTTTTTTTTTATATTGTTTTAATTAATCTATTCGTTCCATTGAAATCCTGCATGTGATCAGCCATTTTCCAAGTGAACCAGAAGGCTTTATTTGTTGTACTGCTCATCTGTCCCATAAAATGTTAACTAAATAAACTGTATTGACTTGAGGGAGTGTGTAATCCCTCATTTGTTGATGCATGTATATTCTAGATTCAATGATAGAGCTCCATCAATTTCCTTTCATGAAAAGCTGCAAATTTTTTGGTGTTGTTATTTAATCAGTTTTTCAAGTTAATTTTGGGCCTCGTATAGATGTCTAGCTTGGTCAGAAGAATTAAATGATTGCGTGAGATTTTTACCAGACATCCTTTTCTTGGTCTTGGAACTCACAGAGTGGTTTATGACCTGTAGTTTTATTTGATAGTTGAGTCACACTAATCCATAATCATCATGTTACCAGGGTATGTATATAAAATTATTTATTTATGATTTTGGCCTCTTTGCAGATTTTTTCGGAGATAACTGAAATGAACAAAAGAGTTTCTGGATCACATCCCTTTGACGTCCAAAAGATGCAGTTTTTGCTGGCAACTGTGTTTGAATCTGCTCGTCTTTTGCCCTCTGGACCTTTGCTTCAGAGATGCTCTTTAAAACATGGTAAGAATTTCACTTGATCATTCTAGCCTTGGCATGTTATCACATAGACACTTCTTTTGAATAAATGTGAAATTCTTGATGTAAGAAACGAATCATCAGGCTATGAAGGGTAAAAAACGAGTCTTGTTTAGACAGCAGCGTTTGTAGAATAGTAAGTTCAAGGATTTATTCCAAGGTCTGAGTTATAAGCTTAGTTGCGAGATATGCTTTTATGAGAATGTCTCAGATTCAGAGTTACCATCGTGTTTCTTTATATCCATGATTTGCCCCGATCTGTATAAAATTTGAGGGTGAGCTTACATGGGATGTAACTGATGGGTCATTAATATTCATGGAGAAAATCAGCCATTTTAAAATACCTTGCATGGGGAAGTGATGGAAGTTAATATTTCTTACCTGGTTTTGCCCACTTTATATCACTTATTTTGCATAGTTTCGAACCTACATACACATAATGAGTAACGTTTTTATAGAGGGCTTTGAGCATAGACTAGTATGATTCACAGGAAAATCTATGCAAGTGATTCTGGCTAGTGAAAGACCAATTAGTTTTTCATAGCCTAATCTTGAAATGGTACAGAAGAGACAACATTGTCTCTAGACATTCAACGGGACTCAACAGGATGAGAACATGTACAAATCTGATTTTTGTTGCCACCTATCAAGCTTTGGTATTCCCCAGTGAAATTTCTTGCTTTCTGGTTTTCTTGATAGATTATCCTTTTTCATGATAAATTCAGATCTTATGCTTCTTTGTTTTGAAAGAAATTCCATTTACGTCGATCAGATTTCTTGAACAATCTCTAATGATACTATCAGTTTACTGCCCGTTTATAACAGGGCTGTGTATCCTCATATTTTCTCCTTTGATGTTTTCTTTTAAATTCGTTTATAATAGTTTCTTCTCTGTAAAATCTTTGTCCAAATTTTTACAAAACTTCATTTTTGTCTAAATGGAATGTAAGTTGGTATGCCCCTTCTTACCCTTATATAGATTACTATGAAATTGGCTGATAACATTTTTTGAATGCTCAGACTTGAACCTTAGGAAAAGCTTAACCATTCCAGCTGGAGCAATTTTTGTTGTTCCTGTGCACCTGGTGCAGACGGATAGTACTATCTGGGGCAAAGATGCTTGTCAATTCAATCCTCTGCGTTTTGTGTCCAAGACTGGTGGATGGGATGATGCTTCGATTCCCAAAACCTCATCAGCAGGTTTCTTCACTAATTAGCCCAGACAGATACTACTAGTTCTGTGACATTATTTTATTCCTTTGAGCACCATAAGTTTCATTTAATTTGCAACTTTTTATTTTTTATTCATTAGCTACATTATCAATGCTCATTTAACTTCTTTTTTCCCTTCTACATGCGGCTTGACCTAGTAAACAGTGGAAATCTAACCTTTACACGGATTAAGTTATGATGTAAAATCTCCTGAGTAACCTCAAACTCTGATCCCTCTTGGGGGCCTCCAAGCCTTGTAATATGTTTCAGGATCAGGAATGGTTGCCAGTCTTCTGTTCGCTTCTAGGAGAATCCCTAACGCAACACCTTTGGGTCGTTCAACTATGATTCTCACATTTCCCCGTGAGGGCCTTTCCCACACTGCGGTTAGCAAAATATAAACCTCTGGTGGAGTTCTTGGTCTCTACACGAGGTCAATATCTGCCTGGACTTGATTCTAATGTCTAGTGATTTGGTCGTTTTCCTTATCAATTGGAATATACTTTAGCATCTACTCACCAGATTCTTGTGTCGACCTCAAAAGATACCACCTCCCGAAGAGTATCTAAAAATCAGTGTCTGAACAATGAGTCATAATTCGAAACTATATTTAAAAGCTTTCTTGCAACAGACCGACCAGAAACTGAGTTAATCTTTGTAAAGCTTTGCACTCGAGTTGGATGACGGCATACCTGGCATCACGTCCTGCTCTATTGGCATTAAACCACATAGGTCATCCGGTTTCGTGGACGAATAAGTCTGGTGAGTTGCCTTTGCCACCATGGATGTTAAAAAGAACTGATTGTCTATTCCTATGAACATCAAACTTAGGGACTCTCAGAGGAACCCATTTCTCTTTAACATTTTCCTTTGTTGATGTTAAGCCATGTTAAATCATAATCATAGTTCATGGACGTCCAAAGCCACGGGTAAAACTCATACTATAGTCCTCTGCAGGAATGCTAACAAGGATACTTTGTGCTACAATACACGAGCAAAGGGTTTATTGTCCGGATGAGTTACCAAAATCTTTCCTGTGCTGTTTGGTTCTCCTATACATAGATAGATATTCCATTGCCTGATGAAAAACATTTTAATAAAAAAAGCATGATTAGAAGAAGGTTGTCTGGGTTTACTGTATGCCAACCCGTGACTTTATGGCCCTGACCGGCTTCTTTTCTCCTCTCATGATTTTGTGAGTCCTAAGGGAACATCAGTGTTGTCAAACCCCTTCGTGGGCTAACAAGGCTATATAATTTCAGTATAACGTTTCTGTTAAGATGCTGGAATGATGTTTATCTTGTGAATAGAACCCGAGTTAAAGTTTAACTTGTAATGATGAATGGTTAAATATTGAAAAATACATGTGGGCTTGTCTGTGCCTGAAACGAGTCACGAGTCAACTCTGTAGTGCCAGCCTTGGACCGATTCAATGAGATTCACTGTGGGCCATGACTAGGCTCTGGGCCTTTATTTGGTTGGCCATCAGTCTTTTAATATTCATCAAAGCACTGATTTTTCTTCTAACGTTTTCACTTGTTCCTTCGTGTTTCTGTCACTCTAACATACGTCTGAAGAAAGTTATGTACTTTCCATCTCTGGCAGACGTCAACTGTGGATTCCTTCCATTTGGATCTGGCAAGCGTGCATGCGTTGGCCAAAAGTTTGCAGTTCTTGCAATTTCCACATTATTAGCATCTTGGATTCAAGAATTTCAGGTTCGCGCCTTGCACCCTTCCAAGCGGCTTCTGTTTGAGTTCTTTTAATTCGTTGACTTCGATTTTGTCACAGAGTGCAACAGACCATCTTTTTATATTTCAGTGCTCTTACCGTTTAATAATCAGAGCGTCTCTCCTACGTTGGCGGTCTCCTTTTCATGGTTCTTCTGCTATAGTTTATACTAGGTTAAGTCAAGACTTAGATAAAATCGCACACTTCTGCTATTCTTTTGGTGCCCAAAACTTTCTAGACTCTTGGGTTTCGCCTCTACATTTTATTGATTAATCTAAAAGATCACACGATGATTTGGGATCTATCTTGAATAAGCCCTCATGTTTATTCCACCCTTTCTGTTTCCAGATACAGCTTCATGCTGCTCCAGAGGACTCTGCTCTTCTGCAACATCCTCCAAGCCCCAAGATCATGTTTGTGCGGAGAAGCTGAGGCAAGGGGGACTGTTCTTCCTCTGCTCCACTGGATCTGGCTGTGCTTTCAGTGGTCCCTGGTTCTTTCCTGCCCGAGTTTTTGTGTGCTGATCTGCAGCTGCTTGACCGGGCGTCTTTTTTCCTCTGGTTTTTAATGGCTCCAGTGCTTCTGCAAGGTATATTATTCAAAGCTTTTTGGAGCACTCGAAGGCTGTTATTGTCAAAAGGGGTTGTCTTCGCTAGATTCTCCTCGTCTTTTCTTCTTTTCTTCACTCCTACAAGTACTCGTGAAGGAAAATACATGCTCTATAATGTTGAAATTCTGCCATGAAAAACATGAAATGTCAGGAGTTTGGGTTTCAGTATTTAATCAGTTGTTACAGAAAGATTGTTGGTTGGAAAATCACTATTTTTTGGTTATTCTTTAATTAAAAAAATTAACCCATCTTTTCCGTTCTATAACATAAACATTTTTTTTATCATTTTAAAATTTTTATTTAAATATCGATTTCTAGAATTACTTTCATAAAATTAACAAATCAAGAAAAATACTATAATAAGCAGTGTTCATCCCCTCAAAATCAATTAATTCAATCAACCACAAAGTGTCCAATTTAGCGTCAGTGCACATGATGGCATTAAACCATGGGGATTGAGGTACAAACTCAACAGAGAGATCCTCTTTCAAAGGTATTCCCTCCTCAAATAACCCTGAACAGCCAGGTGAGGAAACCCTAACCCCATAGTTGGCAGGAGGATATGACTCTTCAGGAAAGCTCCCACTCTCCTGGGTCTCAAATATTTCTTCACCACTTTGTCGTATGATCCCATCTGTTTGATTAAGAAACAAAGATGATAACCTAATCAGAGAGATGGTACTATATTGATGTGCTTCAGAGGCATTATGAGATGAGAATCTATACCTTAATTAAGGAAATTCAGGCATAAATCAACCTCTGGGACTAAATAGCTGAAATAATAGCTTCTTCCCACAATCCACATATTGATAAGATCAAAAGGGATAGAGCCAATTTAATGCCAAAAAATAGTCCAAAATTTATGATCTGGGATGGGTCAGCGCTTAGCCATTTTTGGCATCTCCATTGTCCTCTTATCACTGTTGATGAAGTGGATCGTCCTGCTTCCAGCTGCTGCTTGGATCAGAGGCAACTGCACTTAAGCTTCTTCAAAGCCTCACGGAATGCTTTGGCTCCTTCCATATCCTTCTGCTCCTCGAAGTATCTCAGGAAGATGCCCACCCTCTCCTCGTCCATCTTCCACTCCTCCTTTTTACCCTTTGAAGCTGCGGTGAACACACACCTCAAAGCTTGCTCCACCTCGTTATTCCCCAAATAGTAGTCAATAAACATGTCGAAGGTCCGGAAATTGGACTCCGAGCCTTTCTTTGAGGCAGTCTCCCAGAGGGTCAACGCTTCATCAATCATGTTCTTCCTAAGATATGCGCCAATTACCACATTCGTCAACCTTATATCATGGTGTATGTGAAGGGCTTCCCACTCCTCGTAGCACTGTTCAATGGAACTGAGATCATCGAGCTGATCCAGAGCCTGGAGCACAACAAGATAGCTTAAATTTGTGATCTTTGGGAAGATACCCTTCATAGATCTCCAAACCCTGTTGACCTCTGACAGGTTTCTCATTCGAGCATGCAGAGTGATGAGGAAATGGAAGGAATCTCTGTCCTTTCGGTCAACGGCCATCTCCAGCATCTTCAAGGCCGACTCAGCCCTCTGAGTCAGGCCGGCTGAAATATAAATGGAAGCCAAGTTGCTGTAAACGGGCCACGGCATTGTTCCTTCACCTCTGTCCTCCATTTCAGAAACCACCCGTTCCACAGCATCAATGTCCCCAAGATGGGCGTAGCTGTTCATCAAGATGCAGTGAGTGAAGGTATCAAGTGAGATGTTCTTGGCTCTCATTTGTTCTATAAGTGGGGGTATCTTCTCAGGCTGCTGCAGCTTCATGTAAAGGCTAGCGAGGTTGTTGTAGACTAAAGTGGTAGAGTCATAGCTCAGCATCTTCATCTTCTCATACAACTCCGTTGCTTTACCTGCCATTTTCTCCCTGCAGTAGCAGTTCAAGAGGGCGCCATAGGTGAAGCAGTCCTTTGCCGCTTCAGGTAAATTGGAGAAGTACACCTCTGCTGAATCTATCCCTTCTGTTTTTGACAGCAAATCTATGCGTATTGCATGGTTGCTCTGCGTCATTCGAATGCCTTTACTGTCCATCCACTTCATCAGCTGCAGGGAGAGGAAGATCTTGGAGTCAAATGCGAGCATACCCACAGAAAAAAAAAGTAGCAATGAATGCCTCTGCCTCTGCCTCTGCCTCTGCCTCTGTTATAATAATTTGATCGGTTACTGTTTAAGACATTATCCTCTCCAACCCAATCTTTCTGCTCTTCACAGTCCCCTCTCTCCATGTCATCTCCTCCATTTCTCTCCATATATCCTCTCATATCGCCTCCCTTTACTTACCCACTTACCCACAGTCGCTCTGCCTCAAGGTGAAATCCCCCCTCTGTTTCTATATGATCTTCTCCTATCGTCTTTACATCACTGGTCAAGGTTATGACCACCCCATCGGAAGTAAACCTTGCTAAAATGGGCATGACCTTAAGCAACGGAGAACGTGCTCAAGAATAGTCATAGAATGGAGAACCACAATGGAAATTTCTACCAGAAGAGCCTGCAGCAGATTACGAGAATGGGTTCCGAGCAAGAGAAAGGGGTTGGGGGGAGGGGAGAGAGGACCTCCAGGGCTTGGCTGAAGCGCTTGTACTTGCGGAGCTCCTTGACGTACTTCATGACTTCGATGGGCCTGACTCGCTTTCCCTCCTGGAGCCACTCGTCCATGGCCATCGCCACGCTCCCCTGTGGGGCGCCTCCCAAGGCCGACAGCCGCCGGTACAGCGGCTTCGCAAGCCCTGGGCCAGCCAACCCTGCCGACCCACCTGTTACCGCGGACGACTCCGCCGCCGTGCACAGCCTCCGAACCAGCGCCACCGCCCAAGCGGGCACCCTGAAGGAGGAGCTCCCCGCCATCTCCGACCTCGATATGTCGCAGTTGCAGATGAGGAACGCGCTGGCTGAGGAGCCGGTGCTTTCAATTCGGCAAGCACAGACGATTCCGAAGTACCCCTGGGCTGGGGCAAGGAGGACGATGATCACAGAGAACTGGGCGATAAATCAACCTCCAAATAGTAAGCGGCTTCCTAGTTTCATCTCTCCCCTTGAACCAATAGACACAACTGGACCCAAAAGTTTCTCAGCTCCATTGGAATCTAGTTCTGACCACATCTTCCATCATTCTTCTGTAAATTTGGAAGCCACTGAAGGAATGATGGGGATCTGACCACATCAAGATTTGAAAACTATAACCATTTTAAACCAGAAATTTCAACCCCCAACTCCTAGGCGAGCTCTTGTTTTGAGAAGTATGAAGAACAACAATTCCCATTCCGCTTAAAGATCTTCTGAATTCGTTGAGATTTTGGACAAATTCGTGAACCAGGTGGGCAGACACGCTTCAAAATAGTTTAATGCATTCTTTTCCATCGTAGAGGCCACTTTGGAGGATAAATGATGAACATGATCAATTGAAATGGAAACCTTGGGTCAAGATTTTTTCATACTTTGGATAGAATCATTTAGAAAGAGAAATCCAAACCCACAACTCGAGTTGCTATCTTTGGATTATTGGATAACTTTTATCAACAATCTACAAGATCCCATTGATAAAACCCTGATATACATGTTAGGTTTTTTTTCCCTAAATTAGCATATAGATTCACAAATATCTATCTTTATGTAAATCTGTTTTAGCAGGTTTTTTGATGATGCAACAATATTGAGTTCGACCTTCTATGAATTAATCATCTAGACGAGACAAAAAGTGTAAACATATAATTAGTTAAAAACTAACAAAGTGTTCCAGTTTAGGGATTGATAATTAAAGTAATGTGGTGAGAATTTTTCTATTAATTAGCGTTAGTTGGTGCATAAGCTGAATATTCATATAAGACCTGAGCATCAACTGTGGACGCTGAACTTGAATTTCCTCACAAAGAACTTGAGTCTTGATGCATGTATGAACCTGATTTTGAACGTTGACTCAAGTTCCAACACATGGAAAATCACAGTTTTTATTTTAAAGCAAAGTAATTTTTAGTCATTGAATATGTATTAAGTCAAGGACTCCGACTTGCAAAAGGCCATTAAACCATAGGAATTTGGGTGTGAAATTAAGTGTTTCATATGTGGTTGATTTTTTGCCATTTTTATTTCTACACTAATATGTGAAAGCAAACATTGATTTAAAAATCTTACTAACTTAGAGACGAACATCAAACTGAATAAAACGGTAAACTAGGAACATTGACTTTTTTTATTGTATTTAAAAATTATCAATTAATTATAACAAAATTTTCTTTTCATTTTGAGTTCTTACATGAAATATCTGCAGGTTAAATTATACTTGAAAACTCTAAACTTGTTATGTCAATAATCTTAGACAATGGCTTAACTTGTACAAATAGCTCTAGTATGAATGATGTAGAAACTAGCTTTTACTATCTCATATTGGTGCTACAAAAAATTCAATTCGTCTCATGTCATGAAAATTAGAAACAACATCAAATATTAATTGTTTTAATCTAACATGCTTTTGAGGGAAAAAACGGCTTCATTAAGAAATAAGGTCATAGAATGAATGAAATGAGGTCATAAAATTGGGGATAAATAATTTGTGATCATAGAATGAATGAAATAAATATGGACTTGAAAGTCATTTTTTTCTGAAAATATAGAACATGAAAGCCAAAACCATTCGTCCCATTATTTTGCCTATGCCTTGTCTTTTTTTGAAATTGTGTTTCCACTTTCTCTTCTATTTATGTCATTGAAATTATTTAATCGGGTTCCAAGTTAATATTATTTTAGGTCTTAGACCTATTTAATTGGTTGTATGCTTACAGAAAGACCAATTTAATCACCACCATTATAAAATTCATCATTATTCTATACCAAATAGTTATGGTTGAAAGATAGAAAGTATAGAATGATAATACATTGCATCTCCACATGATATCAATTTTGTAATTAAATCAATGATCCCTAATTTTACTCTTTTCTAGATTTCTACATGTTCAATATTTTTAAATATTCTTATCAACAAGGTATGGCAATGTCTTGCAGTTGACAAACTGATGAAATAACTAGGGCAAAGGGAAGCGTACAATCTTAAATTATTTATACTATAATATGTTTATGAAATATCCAAATAAGTAATAATATCAACCTTTTTCCTTTAATTAAGTAATGGATATATACATGAAAAGGCATTGAATTATTTTTTTTACCTTTTATGCACAAGGGGTTCATGATGTGACTCCAATTATTCCTGTTTCATTAATCATTAAATACACTGGTGAATATTAATTAAGAAATAAAACCCAGATGTCGTAGATCCTCTACTTAGTTTAAGATAAGGAGACCATCAAAGGTAGCGACTTGCTGCTAGAGAAGACTCGATCACAATAGGCATGGACATGCATAGTTGTAATGAAATAATAGAGATAAGTGGATAGAAAGGTTGATCGGAAGAGCTTGTGCTTGTTCTGTCTGACCATCGGATTGACCCTCCTAACGTTCAACGGATTGACCTGCAGGTCGTCTCCGATTCACACCACTCATAGAACACCTGCCTCCATCAGCTAGACCCTAAACCAACAGTCAACGAGAGAGCCATCCATCCACAAGTCAACAAGAAATTCAAGCCATTAGACCAACGATCATTCCACACTCTCAAGGGAGGAGGATAGTAAATAATGCTCCCCACGTTATGGTTTGATAGGATCATCACACAGCGTATTCAAGTGTTCTTCTTTCAATACTATCCTCGGTCAACAGGGTGACGTCATTTTATTGCTGCTTCTAGATCGTCTCTACTAGATTACTCAAACTTGGTATTTCACATGTTGTGGAAGGTTTGGCTGAGCAAGATCTGGCACCATATTACAGGCCCACACACACCAATCAACTAGTCAACCGTGATTACTCTCTGATGCATGATGATAATAATAGTCAACCATGATTTTGCTGTAATGTACTTAGTTTCATATGTACATGCAGACGCAAGCAGTAGAAGTGCGCTTCATGATTTATTACAAGCCCCCCAGACGAGATATAGTGAATAGGAGCTTAGTTAGAAGAGTCAGAGTGATCTTGCTCCATCTGATTCAGATGGTAAGTCCCTTCCAGGTTCTTGTGTACTTCCACCTTGAAGTTCTCCTCCTTAGTTCCCCTCCTGATCTTGAGCAGCAAATTAAACTTGGCAGATTCTTCAATTACCTGAACAAAATAGCCGTTCAACAGACATCAGATACGGAAATGTCCTCCCACGGTCAACAGAAAAATACTAATAAAACGTAGAAAGTGTGAAAAAAAAAAAAGGAAAAAAGTCAACCTCAGCCTTGGCCCGAAGGACCTCCAATAGCTCATATGGAGCCAGTGAGTTGGATCTTTCCTGGATAGTCTTCACAGCATGAATGGCTGCATCTCGGACAGTAGGATCATGTGCTGCCACATCTCGCCATCCTGGTACAAGTGGATCTGGGCAAACGGGCCCGTTCATTCAAGAAAAAAGGTATTTTCTAACAATGGAACATAAATAATTTGTTGTTGGTGAACCTCCCCCATTCTCATTAAATTAATGAACAATGTAATACTAAAACAAGCAAACAAGATGATTGAAGGTTCATAATGGTTTACACATTGCATAACTATACACTGGGTTTACACATTAATCTATCGAAGAAATCTTCTCTGTACTCTGGAACCATAGTCTCTATTTCCCTCAGAGGGAAAGCTACCAAAAGTGATTCAAGCTGTTCATCTTATGACAGAAATTAGGAAGCTTCTAGACCATATCAAGCTCGTAAAAGAGGAAACAATGCCATCGGTTCATACAAAAAATATGTTTCCATAGCCAGGAGCTGTGGAAGTTCTTATTAGGCAGGGAAACTGAAGTAGCTAATCCGAGCTACCAGAGGGTGAAACAAAATTATCCTTTAAATTGGAAAAAAATATACATAAGTCTTTGGATGTCCAATTACTAATTCTCGTAAATAGAAAATCTGGCACCAAGAAGTTTAAGAGATTTCTTCCTAGTGATGTAACAAAAATCAAGACTAATTTTTTTTCCTAAAATCTTTCATCAATTGATGACATTAAGAAAAATAATGAACTAGATAGAGGGGGATAGAGGGGGATATCCAATATTTGAGCATTAATACCTCTTTTCACACCAAGATCTGCAGGGGTGATAGAGGGGGAGTCACTGATAGGATTGAACTCATGAAGTTTCTTGGAATTCAACCAAGCCTGAACCAAGACCTTGGCCTCATACAGCTTCTTCTTGCCCTCTTCAATAACCTCCACTGTCAGGTGATGAAGAATGCCCGAAACCACTTGTTGCTTGGCCTTTACAACCCGGGAGAAATGAAGAACTGCCTTCTACATGATAAGAAGTGCTTTCTTTACATCTCTTAGAAGGGAAACAGAGGAAAACATGAAACTAAAGGGATAATATTCGGCTCAAATGCCTTGGTTCTAAAAATCTGGACTAAAAGGAAGAAAAAGGGTTGTAAAGAAATTTTGACCGATTTAAGAAGAAAAAGGGTTGTAAAGAAATTTTGACCGATTTAAGAAGAAATCTTTTTAAAGGATGAATATCCAAGCATCATATAACTGAAATTAATAAAAAATCGTGCATGGACTAAAAACTTGATAAATCATTTATCCCCGTGTCTTGTAGTAGCTTCAGCAACATAATTGCCAATCTTCCAGCCAAAACTGTTGTTTGTCGGCACCGGATTCTTCTCAACTGAAGGAACCACCGCCGGAGTTTCTGGAACACATACCTAAAAGCTCACTGTAGCTTGACCAGGATCTATAGCCAGATCAGGGCAAACTCCTAGGCGGATTCAATCTTTATGAGTCAGAGTTGTATTTTAAGACGGTCAATGTGACCCTAACCCTGGCCTGCGTCATTCTTCAAAAACTAAAGGAAGAACAGCGCTCCCTTTGATCGCGACAGATAAAGTGATATCACATCCAGGTTGGGGTCATAACCTCCGGAGACACCCCTCGATTAGCCGTTCGGCTAGTAGCTAATCCCTCCGCCAGCATTAGCTAAAGAAAGCCTTTGGTGCGGAGGAGATTCTCACTCCAGAGAACGTGAGAAGAGGTAAGGTCATGGTAGAAGAACATAATATGACGAGGATATTCAAGGGTTCCGATGAAAAGAGGCGTCTACGATGAATTAAACGAGAACACAAAAAAGGTACTACAATACATATGAAAAAAAATGAACAGAAAAAACCCTGAACATACATCCAGATCAGTCCCAACACACTGAGAAAAGGGGTGAACGTTTCCCGACAGGAAGAAAGGTGGTGAGAGAGGGAGAAGCTACCTCCTTTTTGTTGTGCTCCTCGACGGCGAAACGGGCGAGTTCCTCGACCTCGGCACTATTCTGTGCCCCCTCCACATCAGAGAGACCCCCTACGGTGGCCATCCTCGGCACCTCTCTGATCACCAGGCCCTCCTCACTCTCCGCCGCAGATCCCCACTCTTCCCTCTGGGCTTCCACCGGCGATAACCCCGGCAGGACGGGCAGCAGCAACCGGAGCACCACCACAAAGGAGATCGCAGCAGCGGCGTAGAGAGACGATTTCATGTGGTTTGCTCCTCCTCCCCTCCGACCCCCTTTTATTCTCCCAGCCAACATCCCACTTCTCTCTCTCTTCTTCCGTTCCTCCCCTCGGTACCTTTATTCCGACGCGTCTCGAATCCACGCGGCGACGTGACAAGGGAACAGAACTCAGACTTGACACGTAGGCAGCCAGGACTTCCACGAATTGGATCCTTCACAAGACCCCTGATTTCCTCCCCAAAGGCGACGGGCGCTATAATTAGCAAAAAAATAAAAATCGAAAAGAAAATGTTGGCGGCCATAAAGCCAAATATGAGGATATACCGTTTTCAACCAACGTCTTTGGGTTGACTTATGAGCAGAAATACGACTCACTTTGACCAGCGACACACCAAGACATTAATGATCTCATACAAAAAGATGCTTCTTTTTAGTGCAATTATTAGCATTATGACCTCACGATCTCATGGCAAAATATTCAATGGATATGAACATTTTTTTCATTAATGTATAATATACTTCCCTATACATGTAAAGAAGCTTCAACTAACTTACATCTATATATGCATCAAACATAGTACATACTCATCAACTATACGTTGTTGAAAACCCTATGAATTCCCCATTCACAAGTAGTGTCAACTTAGTAATTTTTTTTAATTATATATGGTTATGGAGATTAGAAGTAATAAATATATTGATTCATATGGTTATGAATTCTATCCATATCTAGGGGTGATTGACTTGTGTGTTTGTTATCTAGGGGTGATTGACATAATCAATTAAAGAGAAGAAAATCTTACATTGGTTCAACTCTCCTAACCTTATTCCTTTTATAGGTTCAGCTACCCACAACTCATTTCCAAACATCAACTGGAATCATGGATCTGGTAGCCTAAATGTTTCTAACATTAGTAATCTGGTGTTATTTCACAGTTCTAGATTTACAGTTTAATAGACCCTCCAATTGGCATCAGTACTTCTCAAAACTTATGTGATAACCTTCTACCACTACGATTGAAATAGTTTGAAGGAAAAATGAATTCAACCTTATAACAGCATATTAACCCCAAATGGAAAGTTCTTCGATGGAGATTAAACTTGGGGGCATATTCTACATTTATTAATTCCAAAAGTCATTTCAGGTCACATAAAAAATAATTTTAGTATAGATAGAAAGTTACAAAAACCTTATGAAATTATGTTATAATGTTTGAAAGAGCAGCAACAGAAACTCAATAGTTCCTCTCCATGTAGTGAATATAGGCTTGGGGTTATCTACAAGAAAATATGCCCACATGATTTTTTAAAAATAATTAGCTTTACTGCTTCCTTAGGGTTATCTAAATGTCATTAACCAGTTTTTTCACTTGCTTAGGATGTGACTACATTGATCATAATATAGATTACATGTGCTTCAATCTGTATCAATCATCTCGGATAAACAGAAATAGCATATTAATTTTTACGTCTGTTCTAACTGAGATTACTATGATCTACCTTATAACAAAAAAAAAAATCTTGGTTCAACCACAAATCTCATCCAAAATGAGATCAGGTTAGAAAAATATTGAGGGGATTGGGGGTTTTCTCATGGGAATACCTTGTCATGTCCCCATATGTTGAGAATAACATTAGACAGCAGCATAGCAACAACCAAAACCGAAATGGTGCGGGGTAATGTGTGCATAGCATAGCTACAGATGCTTCCACCATGCCATTATTTGTCTGCAATCTGATTAGAAAAAAAAGGGTACGACTCAGAAGTAGCAATAGATATCCTCAAGAACAAGTTGCCAAATAGTCAGAATCAATTTCGGATGGAACCAATTCAACATATTTAGCAGAAGAAACTTATATTTTCTTGAAGGCAAGTCCTCACTAAGAGATGAGGGTGGAGAATGGTCTAAGTATAGAATTTTTTTCTCAATAGTTCCACTCAGAACTTCAACACTGGGAACTGTCCAGATTCTATGCAGTTCACGAGCAAAGATTTAGCGAAGGTAGCATGACAATTAGTCATCACATGGCCAAGCTAATGAACGCCAAACCCAGGATGCATAGTGGGTTCAGGCCTTCCAGGTGTTGGATCTGAGAATAATACCAGGAGTTTCTTCAAGCTCCAGATCAGACTTGTGGAGATGGTGAAAAGCAGGCAAACAATAGCCAAACTATCTGTACATGTGACAATATATAGAGATATTTGGTGGTTTATGAAAGCTCCGAGATGTTACCAGAACAAGATAATATTGTTTCTCATCACTTATTCACCCAAACATTGGGTCTCAAGACAAGTTTTCCCACTCAAATGTGTTCTCTGACTCTTTCGTTCCCAGAGGGAGGAAATCGAGAGCTCCTAAGCTACTTAACTGATAGTGTATCACAGATGTACCTTTTTGTTGTCATCGGAACAAGTACAAGCATATAAAGGCTCTGGATATCACCTGTACCCTTTTGTTTCTAATTGTATTCGTATAGTAGTATTTGCTACCCCATCTTTCATTGTGTTCTTCGCAGGCATGGCCAGAAAGGGAAGCCATCACGAATGTAAAAAAGAAACACTCTTCTTCTTGACATGCATCAGTAGATCTGAAGAGTGAAGGCTTGGAATGATTGTATTGATGAATGCCAACAAATCTCGATCCTAGATGAGAAATATTCGATAGCCAAATTCACAGAGAGATTACCTCTAATTTTCTGAAGCCAGAAAACCAAAATCCTGTAGTGTTTTTGGCATGTGAGAAACTTCCTGTCTGGTTGGGAGGAGCAAGTGACCTGCTTCATCTTTGCAGGTTTTGAGACCACAATCATGACACAAGGACTCCAAGTCTTCCTCCTAAAATGAAAAAGAGCAAAGCACCAATAATTCTTTTCAGAACAGATTATTGTAAATTTAGCATTGCAGAAAACTTTCGATAATACCTTCATAATGAGGATGTGAGATAAGTGAGATAGTGGATATGGATGAAGCTTGTAACCACCGTAATTAATACATAGTAATGCCTGTGCACGAACCTATCAAGATCCATCCAAGAATAAGTCATTCATCAAAGGATAAGAATAATTGCACGAATCTTAATAGGCAACTTGGTGGAAATTTTATATGATTCGAATGCTGAACTTGCCTCTAAGAGCAATTTCTACATTCGTAGGGCAAAAACTGATCAACCCAAAGCACACAGATGTATTGTGCTTTCACCCTATAATCGATTTAAACGAAATGAGAAATTGAGAACTGATCCTTTGACTAAGTAATTTAAATAGAAAAGCCAAAAACCGAAAACACTTATACATATCCGTAATATGCTTCAGAAACTTTCATTTAGGCCATTACCTTTAAAAATAGTCCACGGAATTCGCTCAGGTAACTATATTAATGGGGAAATGATCATTTCGTTTTATTCTGGTCTGATCATGAACTTTTCGACGAATGGGAAATGAAATCCTGAACCACTTTAAAGTGATCAGACGAAAAAAAGAATCAGTTTAAGGATCAAGTTGTGGACATCATTTTTCGTCTTATCAGCCCAGATGATTCTTTTCCCTTTCTTAGTCATGAAAAACGGTTTTCTCAATCATTTTTGATGCGGGTGATAAATGCCGTGCAAAGATGGAAAAGGCTGCACTACCGTTCTAGGTATTTCTACTTTTGAAATGTAATTAGTATGACCGTGCAGAAAATTCATCTCTTTGCAAATAAGCCACTACAGGTCTCCACATTTGTTCAGCAAGATCTTTACCTCATTTACAACAGGTTCTAAAAGGCAAAACTGTAAATATGACGAGTCAGCTGCCACGATTTTTAAAAAACGCCTATAATTGCCCACTCGCAAGTGTCTGCAACAGAGAACATTGCAATCAACATAGGACCAGAAACTAGAGGGATGCCGAGCAAACCAAATTGTATAAGTAGACAGGTAACCTGCCTTAACCTCCTCTTCCAGAAGTAGAAGAGGAAAAGAAGCTAGAGTATTGAGCAATAAGAAAGTCATTTCTGAAGATAGATCTCATGAAGTTCACAAAAGTTTAAGCACCTTAGAACACTCCGTGCAAAATGCATTTCCTTTGACTGTAGAATTGAGACTGACATTTTCCGTAGCCACAAAGATATTGAATTTCCTTCCTAAAAAATGTTAGATAAGAGTCGATCCAGTCACAAATCTTGGAGTGTATTCTTGCCAATAAATGAAACAAGAGAATTCTTGGCTAGATATAATTACCTGACTGTTACGACCAAGTTGTAGAATTAAATTAAACGAATAATACTCAGCTTCATTATAGTTTTTGTCACTAGACCTTTGATTAATGACATATAAATCATATAAAGAAGTGAGTGATTTGATTAACTGTTCCATGTTGAGGTGAAGAAGGGACGATATATCAGCCTTGCCACAGTTCTTTCGGAGTCTTTTGTCTGATATTATATGGAATTTAACCTGCAACATGGTATCATGCAATCAAGGCATAGGATAAGGCATAATGGTCGAATAAGATTGCATAAATCATTTGCTGACGCAGATATATGGAATGAGAGGCAGATGTGACCGTTAAAACTTTATGCATAGTCAATAGTATTTGTGAATGAGATGAAAACTGTGCCTCCTTTTATTTAGGTTCAATAGCCAACATGAATGATCAACATGAAGGATTGAATAACCACATTAGAGAAGCCAAGAGGATAAAATATAGGTAACCAACATCAAGGAAGAAAAACTATGGGAACCATCAAAGATATATAAAATGTCTATCAACGCAATCAGTTGACACAGCAAAAGAAAGTTCGGAAGATTTACAGCTATGTAGAAATGACATTTTTTCCTGCATAAGAGGTTAATAAATGAAATCCACCGTATCCAATTATAGGAAGCTTCTAAGAGACATTTCCACATGATTTATGGTCAAATTTTAAAATTGAAAACTTTTTTTAATTCTCATGGCTAATAAAATCACACTAGGAAATACATAAAAAAATAGGTAACGAAATGTACCATTTCCTCATACATTAGAATCACATCATTATTAACAATCTTCTGAATACTGAGATCTTGCCGAATTGCTCTAGTCCTATCAAGGACAAAGTCATGAATGACTTCAAAAGGATGATTTGAAGAATCAACTATGTCAAGCAGGTATCTCAATGTTTTTTGCAAAACTGGAAGAGGCCGAATATCAGAGGGCTGCTCATTTGTTGTAGACATCGTCCTGCAAAACTAGATGTAAAATGTATTAATGTCAACCGTGTGCTGGCTGTTAGGTTGATAGCATAAAGAAGGAAAAACATGCAAAATATAATGCCTATGAAACATCAATGAGAAAAAAATATATATACTAATGATCAGATAAAAGGATTTCGAGGAACACATAATGACATGAAAGCTGTTAAATACAGGGGTTCAGTTCTCATTGAAATGATATACAAAAATAAAATAATGAGCTTATGAAAAGAAAAGATTGAGGATCCAACCTACTGTTCACAAATAACAGGGTGATTGAAATTTGCAGAGCAATAATGTAGAAGCCAAAATCAAGAGTGTATGCCATGAAATATAAACTCAAAAATTCATTGATTAACAGAGCATTCCTGGAATCTTCTAAGCGCGTTTTCTCATTTCAAACTACAGAATAGGCGATAATAAGGTAAGTTATATATGAGATAACCATTTAAAGCCTATCATTGGTTCTGGGCAAGCATAAAGGTCTGCCAGGCCTGAATTACAAGGCATACAGAATTGAACATAGATACAAACCAGTCAAACAGCAGACCAAACATTTGCCCATTTAGAAAACTCACATAGAAAGGGTCTGCTTTTTCAGGACAGAAGGCCTGTCATGCCATGTCATACAAACAAAATACAAGTGGCCCGGTGTGCTAGGAAATTATTCTCGACAGTGAAACTGAACATTGCCCAAGGAATAATGGTTGCATAAAGTGTACGATTCAACACCTAAAAGGAATTTAATAAGTCTTAAACATCAATGACTGCACAAGAACGTAACCGCTAGACCACAGTACAGATGAACATAGCACGTTAATAGCCCAAGCAATGCCCAGTAGTGCTATTCTAAACCCATTTCCCCAAGCCTAGTCCATCAAAACCCTGTACAACGTTCAAGGGCTGCCATTATATCAAATCACCTAAATTTATCCATAATCTGGATCAGGATAAAAATCAGGAAAGGAAATCACATCTGATTTGGTCCAATAAACCAAATTGCAGATATAATATAGAAATAAATAATCTATATACAAGAAAGATATTCATTAACAGTTTTGTTTAAAGACAGGGGTTTAGAAAATTATCAAAAAAGAGATAATGAAATTATTTTAATGCATTAATAAAACTAAAATCAACAACTGTTAACTACCTTCTTGACAGCAAGTGCGGAGGAAGTTTTCTGGGGATTTCCATTTAACCTCTCAAACACAGTTAAATCTCTGAACTGCTCACGCTGTCCCCTCTCCTTAGCTGTTGCATGAACAAACAAAAAAAATGCAGTAAAAAAAAAAACTATCACAAAATGGTTACAGACCAATCAAACTTGAAGAAATTATATACCTAATATTGAAACCTCAAATGGCATCAAGCTGTGAAAAGAGAAGAGATATGCCATCAAGTTTGATCACACTCTAGCAACCCTAATGTTTACCATCAAGAAATCCGCGTCATAAGCTCAGTTTATTCGGCTAGCTGAGATTTAAAACCTCAATCGGCATTCACGAATAATATTTCAAGAAGTGGTAATCAGCTGGCAACTACACTTGGTGACCAATAATTTTTTCCGACTAAACATGTAGCCATGTCCAAGAATACCTTAAAATAAGTTGAAAAGAATAGCTACGAGCTAACTTTAAAATTGACATTCCTATAAGGATCATGTCTTGGCTAATAACTAAATATCCAGGATATCATATTTCAGAGAATTTTTCTCAAAAACTTCTGTCTTGCACAAGACGACGAAAAAAATAAGCTCCATGATAAGGCAAATGTTGCAGCAAAGGTGAGATAGTTCGAGCAGTTTGGATTCAGGGATGTTTAAGATTAGAGGAATGCATATTTTGAAACGAGATGAGCATAGGTTTAGCCCTTTGAGAATAAAATATTGATCTAAGCTTACTTTTGTAAGAAGGAATCAGGAAACTAAAAAATACTATCCATGAATAATACCGCCATATCTGAATTCATAACGTTCTCTAGTGAAATCCATAGTATTAAAATGCACTGTATCCACTAACAGTGAACAGTTCGCCCTTTCATTACTGAAATTAATTATTGAGGGATCCTGTAATTAGAATCACGTAATATAAATTTCACATATTTCATGAATCTTAGAAAAGTAACTTCGAATAAATTATCAGCCATCTATCATGTTATTCAGTATGTCATTAGTTTAGAATTCCAATCTTTTACCTAGGATCTCCAGCCTGGTTAGACAACATATAGATAAAAAACAACAGAGATTCTTAGTATTTGGTCAGGTTTATTTGGTTAAAAGTGACCACAACATCCCTACAAAAATTACTATAATTACACAGTCCCAAAATGGATTTTGGCGGGCAATGATTTACTAGTGGATTCTAGACCGATTGTCACCACCCACCTAAAATTGAAGAAAAAAGGTTATAGTATTATGCTAAGCCAAAAAGGCAGCATATGTTGCCGTTCACGAATGGACACTTGGAAATCATAAAACGCAATGAGTGGCAGCATGTTACAGTGGGAGCGAGTGAAAAGGGAAAAAGGAAATTAAAGGAGCCAATGGAGATGCCACTAAATTTGTGGAATGTAGCAAGCTTTATAGCATCAGATCCAGGAAAATAACATAGGATGGCGGTGCTTCCAACAGTTTTACTTTTTCTCCTTCACTCCAGAGTGCTCATTAGGAGTCTACATATGGAGACATCGAAGAGATTTTGGAAAACTATCCTTCTATCCCTACAAACACTAGATCGTGTTTCTATATTCACAGATTTCTCATATTTTTAAATTGTCTGGATTTACACGCTTCAGATGCTCCAGACATACGTTGACAGGGGATGTCAAAAGAATCTCACTCGTGAAGAGATTTTAAGATCCGAGTTTACCTCAATCATCACATGGCACCATCCAATTAGCAGTTCATTCACGAGTCAATACTTCTGAGAGGTTTATTCAAACTATTGAGGTTCAAGCTGTGGAGGAGCATTCTCTTTACGAAATCTATGCATCTGGTTTTCAAAGATCTTAATTCCCAAATTCTTCATAATGGCCATATTACATTTCAATATACTGCCAGATGAGAGAGGCTTCTGTACCTTTCTGGCATCATCACTATATGCGTGTAAATTTCATATGTGACAAAGTTCTACCAAAAATTATAAGCAAGTATTTGATCTCTGTGGATATGGCATACAGCACACGATTTCTATTTTTTCTTCGCAGCCAGCCCCACTTCTCATTTGCCTACTAATTAAAGGGAAGGCTTGATGAAGCAGTAAGCAGAATCATGATCAAAACCAGCTAGACATACCTTCATGCATTAATATAGGGCGAACTAATAAAGTGGAACATCTAAGCATGGCAAATTGTTCTGACTAGCTACCAAATAGCAAAACCTCATCATAACAACTTTTAAGACACCAACGGACGTCCCCTGAAATCACCAATGTGATTGCATGTAAATAAGCAACTCAACAAGGCATACGTCCCCTAATAGCATTCCGAAACTTCAGAAGCCACCTGAACAAGCCCCCAGAAATTTGTCAATTCTATGCGTTTGAGTAACTGCAAACTTCCTCCCCAGTTTTTCTGATGAAAGTCACAATTTCATCCACGTCCGTGTCCATTTCAGGTCATAAACAGGGTCGTTCCCCTCGGAAATGATAATCTATCAGACGAAGAGAGTTGATGTTGATCAGCAGGAGAAGCGGAAAATTTGAACAGAAAAGAAAACGAACGAACAGCAAGAAGGAAGAAGCATTGATGTGGCCGTTTCAACGAAGGTCGGAAATAATACGCCAGAGAACAGAGGAATGAGAGGGACGACGGGGAGGAGGAAAGGCTGAATACCGGGACACATATCGGGACACGTTCCAACCAACGAAGAGACATCCTGATCAGCAACGTGCTCCGCTAAACGTACTTTCGTGCTCCCCTCGAGGTCCTCCCTGAGATCTCCCCCGCTCTTCGACGCGGAGTGCGACGCCCTGGAAGACGACGGCCTCCACCTGTCCCCGTACGAAGCCGACGACGAAGAGGACGTCGGCGCAGGGCGAGATCCTCCCCCTGATTCGCGCGGCCGCCATGACCTCCCTCCTCGGCCGCCTACTCTTCTCTCCATGGTACCCCACCTACGAGCCTTCACCACCTACAATCCTCAGACTAATTTCTACCGAACTGGTGAGAGAGCTTCATCCACCTGATGATCCTGGAAGAGGAAAAGGGAAAAAAATAAAAACCAGGTAGACTGTGAGAAAATCATCACCCTCTTAAGATCCAGCCTGAACAACCAACGATCATTCTATTTTTGGTAGCGTTGACCTTAACTAAACTTGGAACTCAAAAAAACTCTCAAAGTTATATAAGTTGTTTCTCTTCATGAATGATAAATATCACTTTCGAGGGACAATAAGATTGGGAGATAATTATTTTTGAAAAAGAGAAATATTAGGTGCATATTAAAGGTCAACGCTAGAGGTTAATCAAATGAAATGTGATGCACCATGGTTAATTAATGGTAGTAATAGTTTATTAAACATCATTTAATGGAGGCTCTGAATTATTTAAAAACTATAGTGCATGATTTAATGCATCTTATTTAATAGAGGTTTTCTAGAAAATTCATAGGGGAAAGCTGGTCACTTGATTAGAGTAAATTCCTTGATTTAACACATTATTCCAGCAGCCATGTAAATTCACTTGATTAATTGTAATTTTTTTTTCCATGGTCAACTCAGATTATCATTCACAAAAATGTCTGGTCAACTCAGGTCATCTAGCTTTAGTTTAATCTTCTTTATTGGTAGATTTATCATCAATTTTTTATTTTACGGGCACTAATTTACTCTATCTAATCAGATTAATTATTTTTTATTTGCATGACTAAGATGATGAGCCACCATTAAACACATTAAAAGTCAAAATTAAAGAATAAAATGGTTATCAAAATAGAAAATATAGATATTCCACTTGCACTGTAAAATATCCATTTCTTGCTATTCATTGAATGTAAATACATCTAAAAATAATATCAACCATCATTGCATTGCACCTCACTGAAGCGGATTATTATTTCTATTAGAAATAATCTCACATTTTTTTTCAATATCATTTTAAAGATCCAAAAAAATCCCTTCTTGTCCAAATTACGAAATAATAATGTGACCATCTGTGCACAAGAGTCTCCTTCAACTCTCCCATCGAAAATATGTGAAAGACCTTAGTAGGAAGTAAATTCACACTCGATCCTAAATTAAGCAAAGCATTAAAGAATGTAATTTCTCTAATTCAACATGTAATCAATGGAGCCTCAGGATCTTTACACTTAGTAAGAAATGAAAGATCACTGCACTAGCTTCCTCTGAAAGTGTTATCCTTCGAGGTGATCTACATGGTGTGCATAAGTTTTTCAAAAACTTTGCATATGTAGGAATGTACTTGATTGCATCCATCAAGGGGATGGTGATCTAAACCTGTTGGAATATTTTCATTAACTCCTCATCAAGTTCTACTCTCACTCTCAATTTGGGCTCAAGTGCTTTAGGAAATGGCACCACTTTGGCTTGCCCTTTTGGGTCAATTGTTCCTAGTGTCTCAAGGCCCACTGATCCCTCAGGCCTTGAGTGTCCTAATTCCTTTTCCCTATCTGAGGATAAGCTGTTGCAGTCATCCTCAGGATTTAGTGTGGGATAGGTGTCAACACTCCCTTCAAATGAATCTTTGATGACTTTTTCATTCCTCAAAGTGGTTTCCACGTTCTCAAAATGTTGAGATGTCAAAGTTTGCTGTGCTGCAAAATGAACTGATTGATTATGAGGATTATTAATGGGTTGGCTAGGCAATTGTCCTACTTCTCTTCTAGGGTTAGTGATTGCTAATTTTCCTATCTCCTTTTCTAATTTGTGTATATTTTGTTGATGTTGGTGTTGTATCTAATCAATTTTGTACTACATCTGCAGCAGGTTGTGTATTTTCTTTTGAGTTTGTTTTGACTACAATGTTTATTTCTTGAAGCTGATGTTGCATCGTTTGCATCATCTGATTCATCATTTGTTGTAGTATTGTAATAGATGAATCGAATTGTGCTGGATCTATATTTATCCTTTGTTCATTCGAATTTGGGACTGCAGGAGGTTGGTTAAATTGGGCATTTCCTGATGACTGAAATGCTGGCCTAAATCCACCTAAGTAGTTATGAGGTGGTCGGTATGAATACGGCTGCTTTTGACTCGTCACATAAGGAGGAAGTGCCGCTCCTAGTTGAAATGAGGAAAAATTTGGTGATGCAGCTGGTGGGTTCAAGTAGTTGTTTGAGTTTTTCTAAGAAAAATTTGGATGAGTTCTCCAACTATATTCTTGAGCAGCATTAACTTGCTACGGTGCACCCATATTTGTTGAATGTAATTGTGGGCACTGACAATCGTAATGATCATTACTACCACACACTATACACCTTGTGCATGGGTTTTGGCATTGCAATCCTTCCAAACTAGCTACATGTTGATTTCGCTTGGAATGATGGAAAAGACGATCTCACAATTGATCAATCTTTTGGTAAACTTTATTCACCTCTGCTTTTCACTCCTTTTCCTCTGAATTTTGAACTTCATGAACCCCTCTCCTCTATTCTCCTATGCTATGATCATAAAGTGCAAAGGATTCCCTATCAATAGAATTTTCACTAAGTGTTTCATACAATTGGCACATCTCTTCCTTAGCCTTGCTTATGATTGCCCCACCACAAGTTGCATCTAGTAAATTTTTATTTTGTTCTAAAATTTCATCATAAAAGACAATTAATTTGCCATTTAACTATTCCATGATGAGGGCATTTATTCAACATGTCCTTAAACCTTTCCCATGCTTCATAAAAGGTTTTCCCTAATTTATGTGTAAAATTCAAAATTAATTTCCTCATAGCATGTGTTTTTCCTACAAGATAAAATTTATGTAGATATTGGAAAAAGGAAAAAGGAAACAACTTCATTTGAAGTGCCTCTTGTGGGATATTGGAAAAATGCACCATATCACAAGTAGATAAAAAAAAATCTGTGTTGATGTGACTCTTCATTTGGTAAGCCATGGAATGTGGGAAGCATATGAATCATGCCATGCCTGATATCATATTGCACATCATATGCTAATGGTATTCTAATGTGTGATGATAGTCATAGAAATTTGGTTTGTAATGGTCGTGCATAGGTCTATAAGTGTGAGAATTTCTAAATTTTGTGAACTATCTTGGTTCCCTATGTTGGCGGGGTGAGACTCCTGTCATTTTCCCCCTAGAGCTCTGTCCTCTCTCCTTCAGCTGCTATAGTAGTCTGTTTAAGGCTCCTTTTCCCATCCATATTTTTGGATAATCCATATACTATAGAATTTGTATGAAAGTGCTAAAGAAAGACAACACATTCAATGAAAACTTGGATAAAAATTAACTTGTTGTATGCTAATTTAATTCAGTAAAAGATAGTGCTCAGAAATCAAAAAGCCATAAAATAAGTGAGAATTTAAATAATAAAAATGCAGGTGAAAGTGAGAATTTAATGTTGTGTTGAAATAAACTAAAGTAAGTTAAAGCAAGAGATGTAGATGGACTGAAAATATTTGGTGTGAAATAAAATTCGGCAGAACACAAAGAAAGTATTTAATAATTTTTCATAATTTCAAATATAGAAGAAATAGGAATTAGACAAAATTGGTGCCCCACTAGAATCAAATTGAAATGTAGTACTGTGTGCAATTCTATATTATGATTACTATTATCATTATTATTATTATTTTGAAAGACTAATAGAGAGTAATAAAATTCAACTGAATTTAAATTTTGAAATTAATCTTCACTTATGTAAATTGATGATTTTAAGAAAAAATCGTCCCTTGCAACAGCACCAAAAATTAATTGATAAAAAATCATTGTTATTAAGATCATCAATCTTACATTTATGAACTTATTTTCAGAGGTTAAATTTCTTAGAAAATTAGTAGAAAACCAAGTCAAACTCAAGGAGGATTTGAAATCACGACATCTACATCAATACTTTGTTAATTTCAACATTGATGTTCACTATACGATTCGTCAAAGATGACAAATTCAGCTAATGCTGATTTATGTCACTGAATAATCTTCATGAATCACCAAAGTCACATATTAAATCAGATTCTTCAATGAATTGATAAAATCAATTCTCTAAATTGGAAAGAAGTGTAGGGCTCACAAAAATGGAAATTGTATTAAACTGAAATTAGAATTTTCTTATAGTGTGGGAAGTAAAATGAGAATATAAATAAACTTCTAACTATTGCCTCTTAATCTGACATCCATAGGAAGACCTTGAGCAAGGGTGGTGTTCACGGCTTGGTTGCTCTAAGACTTCCCGTGTGAACACCTTGAGCAACTTTTGACTTGAATCCATCGGTGTTGTCACTCGCCAGTGAGAAGGGGGAAGAGATGAAAGAGGTCCGTCGAGGTTGCAGACAACACTAAAAGGGAGAAAGATAAGATGGCCAGCTCAAGAGGGGAACTGAACCTAAGCTTGAGAGGGGAGAGAAATTGAAAAGTCCCTCCAAATGTCGTGCCCTCCTTTGTTTAATACATCAATTCATTTTTACTTTTCACATTTGCCCCTACAATCATAGATATTAACAACCAAGTATATAAACATTAAAGTAAGAATTATGAAATTAAATTCATATCAGATTTTAAAAAATAAAAATAGAGGGCAACCACTAACATTGTATCATATATAAGTATTAAGTATTAATGTATACTCTATTATTGAATTTGATCTACTTGTGGTGTTAATAATCTAGTAAGTTATCACAACATTGAGGTAACTTTAAATAACCATATTTATCATTATCTACATTGAGATTAATTCCGACATTTATCTATCTCCTACTCTCGATTAGGCTTCTCCAAGTATTGCTGGTGATTGATGGTGGCCGACTTGTCCGCCGACAGCCTTACTGGACGCACCCTCCATCTGCCAAAAGTAGATATATAGATGTAAAGTTTAGACCGCTTTCGTCTGTTTATTTAATTAAATTAAAATGATTCGGGAAATAAGTAGAAATAGTCAATTATGTCCGGAAACAGCTGGAAACGACCGGAAACAAACAGAAAATCGGCGGAAAAACGAACGGAAAAACGAACGGAGAAACGGAAGCCAATTCTCAAACAATTTTTAAGCAACATGATTATTCACTGCCTGTAATGGGTTCTAAGATCTAATGGGAGTTATAAACCTTCGGATTTAGGGCAAAAGGGGGCTTCTTTCCTTCCTCTTTCCACCGGGTGACAGACGGCGGCATTCCCCCGGTTTTCCATTGATTTCTCGCGTTATCCTTGATAAAAATCTGATCTTTACGACGTTCTGAATTCTTTCTTCAATTCATTCAGATGACAGGTGAATGAATCCAAGAAACAGTCGATTTTTAAGGAATTTATTCAGGATTTTACTCGAACTCGTTCGTCCGCCCGTCGCGGGAGTCAAAGGGGGAAAATCCTTGCTTCAATCCGTTTTCTGTCCGAGTTCTTGATGTTTTTGAGTTCGTGTTACATTTAATTTCAATTACGAAATAGATTCTGCAGCAAAAATCGATTCATTTGCTTCAGATTTAGAAATCGATTCGTCCGCCCCATCCCCGGTGTCAAAGGGTGATTTTCGATTTTTTATTCGTTTTTGTTTCGTTTTTTTCCGAATGATTTCATCTTCTGGTTTTGGCATTTGATTTCATCTAAGTCTCCTAAATCTGTTGTTCGTTTCTCTCCCGCCGGCGGAGGCATTCTCTCTCTCTCTCTCTGTGTCTCTCACTATCTTTCTCCTCCGACGGGGAAGAAGACACCTCAACTTCCGATTCAAACATACTGTGGAGATTTGTTTCGTGAACCATTCGTCACAAGAGAACACCGACCCCACCGGAGGCGTTGATAATTGCTGATGTAGCGCACCCTCTCTATCGCCTTCAGATCTGGGTTTGATTGGTGGCGCCGTTCGACGTCCTGCCCTGTGAGGCCTGTCACAACGACTCCCATCTCCTTCAATCTCTTCTCTGCTTTGGCAGTCTCTTCTCTGCTTGTAGAACAACCTGCGTACCCTCCCCGGCCAGCATATGTCTTCTACATTCCCCTCTTTTCTATAACGCCTTCATCTGGAACCATAGCAATCGTAGTCGACTCGAAGGGGACGCCTGATCTGTTGAACGGGTAGACGAACTCCCTCGAGGTATTCAGGCGGTCCGCAGATTATCCTCCGTCTGAATCCGACTGTGGCTTTTACTCTTCACGTCTACATCGTCTTCTACAAACCGCCAGCTCTCAGAAAAATTGGCTCTCTAGGTATTCATTCTCTTCGAACATTTGTTGAATGTTTCTTGCTTTAAAACGATGATTTCCCTAGGTTGCGAATAACGAAGAAAGGATGAATTACCTCGATCTTAACTCCTTGATTCACCGGAGCTTCAAAATAAAGCGCTTCATTCCCGGAATAGATGGGTGGCTTCCATGGAAAATTCTTGTTTACATGATATCGGTTTTTCATACTCGAAAATAGGGAGCAAGTACCACGGCATTACAGAGAAAATGCGGAGAAATATTTTTATTCTTCTATCAACGTGATTTTACGAAGCATTGTGCCCTGATGAATAATATTTCTCTGTATGAACATTTCCTCGACTATGTTCCTCATTTTCACCAGGTAAGCTCTGCTTCTAGCGTTGCTGAAGGTTTTACAGTGGTTCTCGGTTATGTACAGCTTCTTCTACAGTGCGTTTCTCAATCTTACAGATCTTACTGTTGGTGTCCTTGTTGTATGAATGGTGTAGGTTCAGTTAATTTTGGAGCATTTCATAAATACAACAGCTGAAGGCATAGGAGGGAAGAGGGGCAGTCGCACCTCAGCCATCGTTTCTTGTCGAGGGCATCATGGGCGATGCCTTCATTAATGAGATCAATCAAGCGGTTCTGTATCTAAGGCGACAGTTTAGTTTCTCCGATAATGAACTGAAGTGCCTGGAAGATGTGAAATCGTTGAATGAGATGTCCTTGGCGATCCGAGCCAGGCTCAGTGATGCCGAGGAGATGGAGGTAGCCAACGATTCCGCTAAACTTTGTCTTGACAATCTGAAGAAAATCTTCCATGCTATGGAGGATTTGCGTGACGAGTTTTTCTATAACGTGATACGTTTAAAATCACAATGCTCGGATGTTGGCATGGTGTGCCAGGAACACAAACCTAGCTCATCAACTATTCCCCATGGATATCTGGTCTTTATGCGTGATCTTGTCCAATCAATATGGGATCTGAAGGACAGACAAGATAAGGAAATGATGGATTGGGATGCCCACGCGAAAGGACTCCGTGAAAGATATCAGCTGAAGCCTACCACTGTTCATCGTCAAAGCATCTCGTTGATGGGGTCAACTTCCCCTATCGGCAGAGGTGACGACTTGGAGAAAATCAAGTGCTTGTTGTTCTCAGAGCTTAACGGTCATGTCAACATTCCTGTAATCGCTATTGTGGGTATGGGTGGCCTTGGGAAGACTACCCTCACTCAGTTGGTGTACAATGACCCTCAAGTGAAGAAACATTTCAATCTAAGGGCTTGGGTCTGCGTCTCTGAAGATTTTGATAAGGTGAGGTTGACGAGAGAAATGCTCAAGGATTTGGAGGAAAGCTGTGATCTTACACAAATGGATCCACTTCAGAGAAGGCTGAAGAGCCTTGTTGATGGGAAAAGGCTTTTGCTTGTGTTTGATGACATCTGGGAACACCAAAATTTTAATGCAATTGCCTGGGAGGATCTATGTAAACCCTTGCTTAGTGTAAAAGATGGAAGCAGAATCATAGTGACTACAAGGGATCAAAATGTTTTGGATAGAGTAATAATGGGAGCTAGTGTGCATAAATTACCTCGTCTAAGAGAAGACGATTGCTTTACGCTTTTTAGTCAGCATGCCTTTGAGGGTCGGGCCACTGATATCGACCCGACACTGCTGGAGATCGGGAAGAAAATCACTAATAAGTGCAGAGGTCTACCACTAGCTGTGAAGACTCTTGGAAGCTTACTGTGTGGTCAAGATGGTGTGGAGGAATGGAATGATATACTGAACAATAGTGGTATTTGGCCTACTGATGACCAAAGTAGCATTATGCCCATACTCCGGTTAAGTTACCAGCATTTGCCTACCAAAGTCAAAATATGTTTTAGGTATTGTTCTGTGTTCCCAAAAGATTATAAGTTTTACAAGGAGAAACTCATCAATATGTGGATGGCCCACGGTTACATTACTCGAACAAAACGAGGGAAAAAACAGCTAGAAGACATCGGCAATGAGTATATAAATGAGCTCTTATCAAGGTCTTTATTTGAACAGTCTGAAAATCCCGACTCATTTCAGATGCATGACTTGATCCATGACATAGCCAGAGATGTTTCACAAGGTGAATGGTGGAGTGTGGAGAATGGTGTGTTCTACGGTAATCAAGATGACGGTGTTCAACACTGCTCAATCATTTCCACTAAAAGTTATCCCCAGGAGCATGTTCAACGGCAACCACAAATTCGATGCCTATTATTTTTCAACAGCACGTTGAAATTGTCTTATATCAATGATTTATTCAGCATAATGAGGCGGCTAAGAGTTCTTGATATGAGTTATAATCGACTACCGAACCTGCCTGACTGCATTAGTGATTTGAAACACCTACGTTGTCTTAGTCTTGAACGTAGCCTCATCACAGAGCTTCCTGAATCCGTGGGGAGCCTACATCTCCTGGAATCACTGAACTTGAATAATACTTGGATTAGGGTTTTGCCTAGCACGATTTGCTTCTTGAAATGCCTGCGTTATCTTAATCTTTCTGGGACATCGATTGAGTATCTCCCAGATTGCATAGCAAATCTTTCAAGTCTGAGACGGCTGATCTGCGATGATGATGTTGTATTTCCCTCAGAGATCAGAAACTTGACTGATCTTTATACGTTTTCTGATTCTGGTAAAGGCCGACATGTTGTAGTCAAAGCGTTTACGGACTTGGTTAATCTTGATGAGGCAAGGAAGGCATCCTCCTACAGCAAGGAACACCTTAAGGTCTTATCTTTCGTCTGGAAAGACAACCAATCTCCTATGGCGGATCATATACATGGGGAGGTGCTGAAAATTCTTGGGCGTCCTCCCAATCTCAGACAGTTGTACATGCAAGGATTTGGGGGAAGTTCTCTTCCATCTTGGTTAACAAGTCCCAGTTACCTTCCTAAGCTCAACCGTATTGATCTAATTAGATGCAATAAGTTGACGTCACTCCCGCATCTTGAATTCTTTCCATTTCTGAGGCATCTGTACATTAACTCAGCCAAGAGACTACAAGATATCGGCCCTCAGTTTTCCTCCGGCATGACTCGATTACCGAACAGAGCAGAGCTCCAACCCATGTCCAGGCCTATGAATATTTTCCTCCGTGCGGCCAACGTGCATGAAAGTTCCTTTCACCTGTACACGCTAATTATTGTGGATTGTCCAAATATATCATCCTTCACTGCAGACGAATTCAATTATCTCCGGGTTCTGAAGATTATCAGTTGTCCTCAGCTGCACCTTCCATACCTTGCAGCTCTCAGATCCCTCAAGCATCTGTCTATAATAGGCTCCCTTCAAGATATTCCCTCTCACTTTTCGTATAAAGGTTTTCTAGAGTTGGAGAGTCTAGAACTGGAAGATTTACCCAATTGGAGGTCATGGGCAGGTCCTGAAGTGGGCGAGTGCCCAAACCTTCGAAAGCTTTCTATTGTTGGATGTAACGCTCTGGAGAACTTCTCAATATGCTGGCTTCACAAGCTCCAACCCAATGACATATGCGTGAAGAATTGTAAGAGGTTAAATATCCCGATGAATGGTACTGTGAAATTACTTGATATGGAGAAATAGTGCATTCGGAACAAAAAATAGATAACAATCAATTCCCATGGTTATGATGCACCGGATGCTATGGAACAGAGCTAGAGACTGCAGGTATATGACATATCTTCATCTGGGTAACCAATGTGCCCTGGAATATTTGTGCATTAAGAATTGACAAAACATGAATGATCAGTATAGTTAGAAAATATATATCTGACTTTTCCACTTACATAGAAAATGTTCATCAATATTTCTCCAATCCTATCATATTATTATTTTGCTTTCAAGTGGATTATAACTAAAAGGGATATATACTCTCATACCTCACCTCCTATTTTCTTCCCACAATATTGGCTTGATTAGAACAATGAGCTTGATTATGGTGGTATAGCCCTTATCTGGTGTGAGTTGAAGACATTTCTGAGAAAGAATATCCATTTCCAACACGAACTCCAGGAAAAACCTTTCAAGATGCAAACGCAAAAGTATTCCATACCATGCCATGCTTTTGCAAATTAAAGCTAGGCACATACTTTCAAGTATGTAAGAACCATACCATGCTTTTGCAAATTAGTGTCTCATCTGGGCAAGAGAATGATTTATTCTCTTAGGTTTCGAGAGAGAATCAATAACTGTTGGTGTGAGAAAGGCAATACAGGTAACATGTCATTTGTTGCAGAATGATAAAGAGGAGCGCGAGACTAAGCTAAAACGAAACTAAAACGGCAGCGGTTGGCCCACTGGGGCTCCTACTCGCCGGCTTCCGCTTTTACTTCCTCGTTTTCATCTTCTTCTCCCCCCTCCGCTAACTCCAATGTTCTTCTCCTACCCAAAAAAACAAGAGAAAAAGACTGGTCTTCATATTTTCTTGTCACCGTTGTTCTAGCAGCCTCTTGAGGAAGTCCCACTTACTCGTTGATCCGTTTTACATAAAAGTCAAACGAAATAGGCCCTTCGATCGATAGAGGTCAACGCCCCAACATCCCATATTCGCCGTATCATGTTATCATATTTGGTCATGTTTGACGTTACGGCCCCAAACAGCGATACTGAATGCACCTAAGCCAAAAGTCAACCTCACTATGCCATGATCATGAGGATAGCAATCTGGGCAGGACTCCGAACCGTTGATCAATTCAGAAGTCCCTGTTTCATCGATACAGAACGAGGGGAATCTGCTACAGACATGTGCGATGAAGCTCCCTCCCCAGGGTATTGGATGGGAGGTGGGGAGAGGATCTCGGCGCAGCACGGTCAGAAAATGCTTTTCTCTCAGCGAGAAGGGATGCGCCACACTTTCTCTCACCACTCCCCTCTCTTTCAATCTCTTCTCTGCTCTGGCATTGCTAGTTCGTCACTACCCGGCGAGAGCATTTCATCGAAGCGCCTCCTCCTCGAGCAGGAGTGTTTCCCACTGGCCCAGATTTTGTTTTTCTTTCCCAGACCTTGCAGTTGACGACTGCGTCTCCGACAACCAGGATCACCGAGATTCCTCTATTATGATAACGGAGAAATGATGTTTACGTTCGAGGACATGCAGGAGAGAACGGCCAAGGCTTAGCTTCCATTCGAGCGCGAGTCCCACGATTGCTCCGGGGATGGCAGAAACACCGGGAGATGGCGTTGCAGAGATGATGAGATACTTCGGATGTGCAGCATTGGATGCCCAAATCTTTCGCCATCAAAACTTTCAGCGCGAATTGACTTCGTCCCCAACGGGAAATCTAATGTGGTAATTCAGAACCATTTCCATCTGATATTAGCTGCAGTGATCTTGATTACGGTGATGATGTAGCCCTTATCTGATATGAGCTGAAGTAATTAATGAGAAAGAACAACCATTTCCATCCCAGGAACTTCCAGAAAAGACCTTTCAATTTGTAGACGTAAGAACATGAGGAGAACAAGGGCCACTGGGTACACATCTAGTGAAGGTGGGCACATATAGTTGACATCTAGGAACAACCAGACCAATGTTTTGCGGATAAGTGTCCCATTTGGGCAAGAGGAAGGTTTATTATCTTAGGACTTTGATAGAGAAATAAGGCTATCCTCAATAGATGTGGGTGAAAACAGGCATTGAGGGATGGTCTAGATTTCTATTTATATTTCAAATACATCAAGAATAAATATTTACAAAAAAATATTATGATAATAAATCGTGAAATAAAATTGTGATAAATATATTATATCACATTAAACATTTAGTCTTTTTGGTATCCAAATGGAGTTTTTTGTTTTTTTGTAAAGTAGAGGAATTTTTTTTTGGAGTGTTTAACAAGATATCTTCCATTTGTGTGTGGTTGCTGATTTCACGAAAATCAAGATTATTCCCATGCCACAAAAAACTCATTGAAGGAAAATTTTAAGCAAGAAAATTCATTTGTATACAAATATAATTCATGTAGTCCTTTCATCAGATTTATCTACATTAAGAAAAATGAATAATTAATGAAAGACAGTAGTTAATGAATAATAGGAGAATACAACTTTCAAGATCTGTCGCGTAAAACGGAGGAATCAGAGATTTCAAGATCGGATTGTTGCGGTTCCAAGAGGCGGACATCTGAGTCCGGAAGAGGAGCCCGTGAAACCCGTTTGGAGAAATGCCTCAGAGAAAAGCAAAGGCTTAGCTTCCCCCTGAGGGGTCTTCGTTATCGAGGGAGGAGGAGGAGGAGGAGGAGGAGGAGGAGAAACAGGGGGGGATTGTTCCGGGGATTGCAGAAAGTGGGGGAGATGAGGAAAAGGCTATTGGTATGAAAAGGAAGAACTCATCAATATATGGATGGCTCACGGTTATATTACTCAAATGAAAAGAGGGAAAAAACAACTAGAAGACATTGGTAAGGAGTATATAAATAAGCTGGTATCAAGGTCTTTATTTGAACAGTTTGAATTTGGTGGAACATTCAAGTGGTTAATGATGCATGACTTGATCCATGATCTAGCGAGAGATCTTTCACTGGGTGAATGGGGGAATGTGGAGAATGGTAGGTTTTACGGCAATCAAAAGGGCACTGTTCTTCATTTCTCAATCATTTCCACTGAAAATCATCCCCAGAAGCATGTTTGGCGGAAACCAAAAATTCGATGTCTATTATTTCTCAAGAGAAGTCTGGAATCGTGTTATTTGAATGATTTATGCAGCAGAATGAAGTGGCTAAGAGTTCTTGATACGAGTGATAATGGACTAGAGAATCTGCCAGACTGCATTAGTGATCTGAAACTGCTACGTTATCTTAATCTTCATAGAAACCCAATCACTAAGCTGCCTAAAGCCTTGGGGAGCTTACATCTCCTGGAAACACTAAACTTGAATTTTACTCGCATCAAGATTTTGCCTGACACGATTTGCTCCTTGAAACGCTTGCGTTATCTTGGTATTTATAGGACATACAATAATTACCTCTCAGATGGTATATCAAATCTTTCAAGTCTGAGATGTCTCTTCTACAACAAATTTGTTGTATTTTCCTCAGAGATTAAAAAACAGACTCACCTTCGAATTAATCATGACGTACATCATTCAACAGTCAAAAAATTGTTTCATTTTAACTAGAAAATCTTAGACGACGTGAAACAATTCAGGCAGAGAAGAAAGTGAAACTATTTGACATACTTCTTGAGGTTTTTGTTGTCATATTTTATTCTACTTTTGTTCCACCATAGAAAGAGAGTGTTTGGGACAGAGCTTCCAAGAAAGATTTCTTGAGCTAATGAGTGCATCGGAGGAACAATGAAGACGAAAACCATGAAGTAGATACAACTTCATCCTTGATCCCCTTTAGTGACTTAGAAAATTCTGATAGTCATGGATATTTTAGTACTCATGATGATAATGGATTAAAGTATCTGCTTTCATTCTCATCCTCATTTTCCTTAGAAAATAAAAAGGTAGAGCTTTTGATGGTGAGAAGTTCGTGACTATGATAATGAATATATTCTGGACATGCTTTGGTTGAAGAATCTACCAACAAGTCCATGTTCTTATTTCTTAAAGTGAGCAGAATAGGAAATATCATTACGTTTGCATCAATGTTCAGAACGAAACCTATCTATGTAATATGAAAGTCTGTACTTCGAACATTTTGACAAAATGTCTGTTTGCGATTCAGTTTTCAATATGTCATATACTGATGATGGAGGATTGAATGTGTACTACCACCCCCCACTCCCTCTGTCCCTATCTCTCTCTGTCTCTCCCTTTCTCTCGCTTTCTCTCTCTAGCTCGCTCGCTCGCTCATCCGCCACATTCCTGATCATCTTTAGTTTCCAGATCTCCACATAATCATACAAGATTTTGCAGAGGATTATCCATAGGCTTTATCACTTATTCCTAAGAACGCTTCCGGTTAACTAGTTGATCCATTTTGCTCAATAGAGGTCAACACCCCATCAGCCCATATTGGCCACATCATGTTATCATCATATTTGATTATATAATCAAGATTTCCCGGCCAACATTACGGCCCTAACTAGCGATATCTTGTGCACTTAAGCCGAAAGTCAACTTCTGGTGTAGATAGTCCGACCAGAGCATCTCATCTATCTGTCTCTGCCTCCAGTTGGGAGTCTTTACACCCAGTGGTTGACTCTAAGGGCTGCTTGATCCGATGAATTGGAAGACGAACTCCTCCATCTTCAGGCAATCCGCTGACAATCTGGCAGAATCCTGTAAGGATTGCTTTATGCTGTTTAGTCAGCATGCTCGAGAAGTGCAGAGATCTACTACCACTAGCTGTGAAGACTCCTGGAAGCTTACTGCTTTCCCAAGATGATGTAGAGGAAAAGAATAAAATATTGAAAAATAGTGATTTCTGGGATAGTTCCATCCCAACAATTTTTACAACAATTTTAGCCCCCCCAAAAAAGAAAAATCATTAGCAGATAAGAAGGAAAGGAAAAAAACAGATTTATGTGTTCTCGAAATTTGTTGGATATCGATGATGGAGGATCACTAATTCCCAGATTAAAAGGAAAAATGGAAACCATGGCGGCCTCTCGTAATTTCCTGTCAATTTGGAGCTCTGCCAAATTCGTGTCTCTCTCTCTCTCTCTTCCTACGGCGACGATGACACACGGTGAAGTCGTTGACTTCTCCCCACAGATGGAAACATACGATGAAGATATGTTCTCTGAACCATTTGTCTCGTGCAGTGCCTGTCCTCATTCTCATCCATGGTTTGGCTGTGCTTGCAAGCGCACTGACGCCATTGGAGGCGCTGATTGATAATCACAGACGGAGCCCACCCTGCGATCTTCTCCAGACGCGATTCGGATCGGATAGCGCCATTTTTGACTTCCAGGCTTGTGGCAGTGACTTCAGTCCCGCCGTAGAACCCAACTTCATATTATTCAGAACTAACATCTCCGAGAAGAAGGTTTCACCAAGGCCATAATACCTCTTTCTGGATGTCAGAAGTCGTTGACTTTTCCCATAAATGGAACCTTAACTTCCTTTTTGAAAAAAATATGGTGTAGATTTTATTCTTTGAGCCATTCATCGCGTGCAGAGCGTGTCCTCATTGTGGTCCAAGACTTGCCTGTGTTTGCAAGGAAACAAAGGTCACTGGAGGAGTCGATAATGGCAAACGGAGCCCATCCTCCGAGACGCGGTTCGGATTTGTCAGTGCCATTTGACTTCCTGGCTTGCGACAGCGAACTTCAGGCCCACCGGGGAATCTAACGCAGTAACGACTCCCTTCACTCTTTCAACATCTTCTCTGCTCTGGCAAGGGAGGTTGGTCCTTGGAGAACATCCGGCGTAGGCGCTCCAAGTGCGTCGACTGCTCCATCCTTTCACGTATTTTCGTCGTGGCAGATCCACGCCAAACAGATGGCGGGGATTCGAAGACCGTCGTTGACTTTTCCCCATAAATGGAACGTCAACTTCCTAATTAAAATATATGGTAAAGATTTGTTCTTTGCTTCATTCGTGTCACGCAAGTCTGTTCTGACCGTCATCAGTGCTTTGCTTATCGAGGCAAGCAAACTGACGGCAATGGAGGAGTTGTTGGTTTCACGATAATGGATCGGATTACGCCGTTTGACTTCCTGGCTTGTGACAGTTGACTATCGCGCCACCGGGGAGTATAATGCGGTGGTATTCAGAGCTCTTACAGCTTGCAAAAGAAGGCATAACCAAGGTATCTGGAAACGTTCGACGCCGTTGCACCTTCCTGGACCCACTGTCTCAAGGTCGCTCTCCGCTTCCATCTCTTTCAATCTCCTCTCTGCTCTGGCACCAGTGCCTGGCGGCCTGGAACAAACCAGCGTATTTCATCTATGCGCCCGTCTCCAGGTAGAATCATACCCCTCCTGGTTGGCTCCTGGGGCTGGATGATCTATTGAATTGGAAGACGAACTCCGCCATATTCAGGTTATCCACACACTGTACGGCAGAATCAGATTGTGGATTGAGTTCTTCACGTTGACATCGTCTTCTCACAGCCAGCTATCAGAAGACTTACTTACCCTCAAGGTATCCTCTCCGAGTACTTATCAAAAGCTGAATCTTGTGAAACATTTTGATAGAAGTTCATTGATATCTTCCTTTTATAAAGCATATGGGATTCGATTATTGAATAGTCTACATCACTTCGGGTTCTATTGTAACAAAGGATTCCCCATTTTATGTGGAAAAGACCAGAAGAACACAAACTAACACCAGTTGTTGTCATTCTTTTACCATTGGAAGGAATGACTTGAAAAAAATCTACTTACCATGCACTCTACTCACTTTATTTTCTTTCTGTACTAACATTGCAGAACATTTATTGTGTGCCCCTGATTACTTCCTTGACTATATTCCCGAGTTTCACTAATTAAGCTATGCTTCAAGTATTGATGAAGGCTTTCGAATGATTTACAGTAATGTAAGACTTATGCCAAATTATTAGCTCATTGGCTCGTTTCTCAAACATACAGATAATTGTTATTCTTGTACCAGTGGTGTAGGTGGTGTTAATTAGGAAGCATTTCATAAATACAGTATCTGAAGAACAAGAGGGAACAGAGGCAGTCGCACCTTAGCCATCCTTGTCGTTTCTTGTCGAGCGCATGATGGTTAATACGGAGGTTAGTGACGCGGTTGATTATCTAAGGCAACGCTTTAGTATATCTGGGAATGATCTGAAACAAGTAGAAGATGTGAAATCGTTGAATGAGATGTTCCAGATGATCCGAGCCAGTCTCAATGACGCTGAGGAGATGGAGATAACCTCCGAAGCTGCTAGGCTTTGTCTTAGAAAACTGAAGAAAAGCTTCTATGATGCGGAGGATGTGCTGGATGAGTTTCTACATCACGTGCTGCGTCTAAAATCAGAGGCCGCGACCTTTCCAGCAGATGGAAACGTGGAACGTGACCCTACCTCTTCAACTAGTCCGCATGGGAATCTGGTCTTTATGGATGATCTTGTCCAAACAATAAGGGATTCAAAGGTTAGACTCGATAAGGAGAAGATAGATTGGGATGCCCATGCCAAAAGACTTAATCCAAGCTATCAACTGGTGGAAAAAGTCCGTCCTCCAAGCACATCGTTAATGGGGTCAAGTCGCATTATTGGCAGAGGTGACGCCTTGGAGAACATCAAGGGCTTGTTATTCTCAGAGTTTCATGGAGATGGAAATATTCCCGTAATCGCTATCGTGGGTATGGGTGGCCTTGGGAAGACTACACTCGCTCAGTGTGTGTACAATGACCCTCAAGTGCAGGAACGTTTCGATCAGAAGATTTGGGTCTGCGTCTCTGAAGATTTTGATGTGCTGAGGTTGACGAGGGCAATCCTCGAGTCTTTGGAGCAGGAAAAGTTTCATCCGACAGAAATGGATCCAGTTCAGAGATGGCTGAGGAGCATTGTTGAGGGAAAAAGGCTTCTGCTTGTGTTCGATGATATCTGGGAACACCGAAATCTTAATGCAAATGCTTGGGAGGATCTATGTAGACCCTTGCTTCGTGTCTCAAATGGAAGCAAAATCATAGTGACTACAAGGAGTAAAAATGTTTTGGATCGAGTACTAATTCCGGCTAGTATCTATCGACTACCTTATTTAACAAATAATGATTGCTTTATGCTGTTTATTCGGCATGCCTTTCAGGGTTGGACCTCTGATATAGACCCCACCCTTCTGGATATCGCGAAGAAAATATCAAATAGATGCAGAGGTCTACCACTAGCTGCAAAGATTCTAGGAAGTTTACTGCGTGGTCAAGATGATAAAAAGGAGTGGACTAATATACTGAACAATACTGGTATTTGGGATAGTGATGACCAAAATCCCATAATGCCCATACTTCGGTTGAGCTACCAGTATTTGCCTACCACGCTCAAAAAATGTTTTAGGTATTGTTCTGTGTTCCCGAAAGATTATGAGTTTTACAAGCACCAACTCATCAATATGTGGATGGCTCACGGTTATCTTACTCAAGCTGGACAAAGAAAAGGACAACTAGAAGACATCGGTGAGGAGTATATAAATGAGCTGGTATCAATGTCTTTTTTTGAACAGTCTCAAAATCATGAAACATTCCAGATGCATGACTTGATCCATGATCTAGCGAGAGATGTTTCACAGGGTGAATGGTGGAGTGTGGAGGATGGTGTGTTCTACGGCAGTCATGATGATAGTGTTCAGCACTGCTCAGTCATTTCCACTAAATATTATTCCCAGAAGGATGTTCAGTCGTCAGCACAAAGTCGATCTCTATTATTTTTCAAGAGCAGTCTGAAATACCCTTATACGAAAGAGTTATGGAGTGAAGTGAAGCAGCTGAGAGTTCTTCATATGAGTTACACTGGAATATCCATCCGGCCAAATTGTTTTAGTTCTTTGAAGCACCTACGTTATCTCAATCTTCAAGGTAACCAAATCTCTAAGCTGCCTGAAAGCTTGGGGAGCCTTTATCTCTTGGAAACACTAAACTTGAATAGGACTAACATCGGGGTTTTGCCTGATTGGATTTGCTTATTGAAACACCTTCGTTATCTTGGTCTTCGTGGTACCTACATTAACTATTTGCCTGAATCACTGGGGATGCTCGACCAGCTTCACACACTGGACATAGAATCCGTTCGCATTGATTATCTCCCGGATAGTATATCGAATCTCTCAAGTCTGAGGCGCCTGATCTGCAAAGATGATGTTGTATTTCCTTCAGAGATCAGAAAATTGACTGATATTCAAATGATGGATCATTTTGATGATGACCGACATCTTACAGTCAAAGAGATTACAGACTTGATTAATGTGGATGAGGCAAAGAAGGTATCTTCGCATAGCAAGGAGCACCTCAAGGTCTTATCTCTGGTCTGGAATGACAACCGATCTCTTATGGCCCATCATATGCATGGGAAGGTATTAGAAAGCCTTGGGCGGCATCCCAACCTCAGACAACTGTACATGTATGGATTTGGGGGAAATTCTCTTTCATCTTGGCTGAAAGATCCTAGTTACCTTCCTTGCCTCAACCGCATTGATCTAATTAGATGTGAACAGTTGACATCACTCCCACCTCTTGAAAACTTTCCACGTCTGAGGCATGTACACATTGAGTCAGCCAAGAGACTACAAGATATGGGCGTGTCAAATAGAAATCAGTGGCACGGTTTCCATGCTGTCCGAGTTCTAAAGATTATCAGATGTCCCGAGCTCCAACTTTCACGCCTTGGAGATCTCCGAAATCTCCAGCATCTGTCTATAATAGGATCCAATCAAGATATTCCCATTAACTTTTCGTCTGGTGGTTTTGGACAATTGGAGACTCTAGAACTAAAACATTTGCCCAATTGGAGGTCATGGGCTGGTCCTCAAGAGGACGAGTGCTCGAGTCTTCAAAAACTCTCTGTTGTTGGTTGTAACTCTCTAGAGAACTTCTCAATAACCTGGCTTTCCAATCTTCAAGACATATACGTGGAGAACTGTTTGACATTAAAGATCTTCAAGAAGGATAGCATGATATTACCTGATATGGAGAAATACAGTGTGAGCAACATATGGCAGATAAAAGTAGTTTCCCACATGTATGACATGGTGGATGATATGAAAAATAGGGAGAGACTCTACTACTCCCCTGCCATTCTTTTATGGAGTTTAAGCACTATAGAACATTTAGTCATCTCTGAGTGCACTAATCTTGCATCCATATCTTCGGAAGAACTACCATCAAAACTGAAATTCATTCAGGTAGATGGTTGCAAGAATATGAGGTATCTTCAGCTGGGCAACCAACATGCCTTGGAGTATTTAAGCATTAAGAATTGCCATCGACTCTCACACGTGAAATGCATATCATCAATATTGAGATTTCTTTTGATCCAGTCCTCTCAGAAATCTGTCTTTTGTCATGTTGGTAACCTTACTAAGGTGGAATACTTGAGTATCAGGAAGTGTGTATTGGAGCTATTAGATGTGCAACAGCTCCCATCGGCATCAAAAGTGATGAAAATTGACCAGTCAATATTAGACGTGCTAGTGATTATTGACTATCCTGACTGGACTTCCCTTCCACCTTCCTTATTAGAAAGTATCAAGGAATTGAGGATTATTAGATGCTCTGGTTCTACTGCACCTGAAGATGTGAAATGGCTATCATCCACACTGAAAAAGCTTGAGGTTATCGAATGTCCTGACCTGACTTACTTTCCTCTTGACTTACTTGAAAACATAGAGGAATTGACGGTTATAAGATGTTCTACGCATGCTGGATTCATAGATGTAAAAAGGGTGTTGCCAACACTGAAAAAGCTTGATATTGTCGAATGTTCTAACTTGACATACTTTTCATTTTGCTCACTTGAGAGCTTGGAGGAATTGAGGATTACTAGATGCTCTTTTCGTGATGCATTCATAGAGGTGACAAGGCTGCCTTCAAAACTGAAAAGATTTGACATTGTCGAATGTTCTGACCTGGCTTACTTTCAACTTGACTTACTTGAAAGCTTGGAGGAACTGAAGATTTGTAGGTGCTCTTTACATGCTGAATTTTTAAATGTGAAAAGGGTGTCATCGACACTGAAAATCCTTGAGATTGTCGAATGTTATAACTTTGGTTACCTTCAACTTCAATTCTTTGAAAGCTTGAAGGAATTGAAGATTATTAAATGCTCTGATCTTGCTGGACTCATAGATGTGAGAACAAAGTTGTCAACCCTGAGAAAGATTGAGATTGTCGAATTTTATAACCTTGGTCATTTTCAACTTCACTTGTTTGAAAGTTTGGAGGAATTGAGGCTTATTAGATGCTCTTTCTGTGCTACATTCTTAGATGTGAAAAGGGTGCCATCAACACTAAAAAAGCTTGAGATTGACAAATGTTTTGACCTGACTTACTTTCCAGTTTGCTTGCTTGAAAGCTTAGAGGAATTGAAGATTATTAGATGCTCTGGGCTTGATGCATTCAAAGATGTGAAAAGGGTGTCATCCACTCTGAAAAAGCTTGAGATTGACGAATGTTTTGACATGAATTTTTTTTCACTTCACTTGCTTGAAAGCTTGAAGGAATTGAAAATTATTAGATGCTTTGCTCTTGATGAATTCATAGATGGGATAACAATGCCATCAATATTGGAAAACCTTGAGATTGTCGAATGTAATAACCTTGGTTTCCTTAAACTTGAATTGGTTGGAAGCTTGAAGGAATTGAGGATTATTAGATGTCATAACTTTCTTGGATTTAAAGGCATGAAAAGGGTTCCACCAACACTACAAAAACTTGAGATTGTTGAATGTTATAACTTGACTTTCTTTCCACTTTGCTTACTTGAAAGCTTGGAGGAATTAAAGATTTTTAAATGCCCTACACTAGCTGGACTCAGACATATGGAAACAGAGCTATCAACACTGAAAAAGCTTGAGATTGTGGAGTTTAATGTCTTGACCTCTTTTCCACATAACTCACTTGAAAACTCGAAGAAAATCAAGATTATTGGAGCCTTTGAACCTGCTGTATTAGAAGATGTTAGAAGGTTGTCATCAACATTGAAAAGGCTTGTGGTTGTCAAATGTTCTAACTTGACTAGTCTTTCACTTGACTTGCTCAAAAACTTGGAAGCATTCAGAATTATTAGATGCTCTGATTTTGTTGGATTCATAGATATTAAAAGGATGCCATCAACATTGAAAAAGCTTGAGATTATCGAATGCTATAACTTGAATTACTTCGAACTTCACTTGCTCGAAGGCTTAGAAGAATTGAGAATCATTAGATGCTCTGAGCCTGCTGCATCCATTGATGTGAGAAGGCTGCCATCAACACTGAAGAAACTTGACATTGTCGAATGTTCTAACCTGTCTTACTTTCGACTTGACTTGCTTGAAAGCTTGGAGGAATTGAGGATTACTCGTTGCTCTGTGCCTGCTATATTTATACATGTCAAATGGCTGCCACCAACACTAAGAACGCTTCAAATTGATACATTTTGGGTTATCTCTTTCCGTATACCATGTGAATCAGATGTCTCAAAAAAATTAAGAAATAGGTACGACGTGAAACTTTACCTTCCACTAGAGAGGTTCAAAGTTCTGCAACAGTTGATACTTCAACACAGCCCACAACTTTGCATCTCAGAGGATAAAAATCTGCCATCAACACTACAAGAACTTTCCATCATTGGGTGTCCAAAATTGGAAGAATGGTGCAAAAGACACCGTCAAAGATTAGTGAACATCCGGATGTTGGAAATAGGAGAGGTACGCTTTAGAGCGCCGACGGAGGACGAGGACGAGGATGAGGACGACGACGTGGATTAAGAGGACAACAAGCCTTCGGGTGCGAGTCCGATGATTGGTCCGGGATTGGAGATGAGGCTGCGGAGATGGTAAGATACTTCAGATCGGCAGCATTGGATGGCCAAATCTTCTACCCAGGTACCCATCCAGTTTTTGTTCTCTAGTCCAATTTACTAGGTTAGAGACTGAGGACGAGGTCTGCAGACCTAGGCAATCATTCATAATTTCCTGTCTACTTGTAGCATGAGCTATAGTGCACTAAAAGACGAGAGAAGTGCACCATCAGACGAGGATGAGGACGACTGGACCTCGAGCGTGAGACCAACGATTGCCCCAAGATTGGAGATGCGGTTGCAGAGATGGTAAAATACTTCAGATCGGCAGCATTGGACGCCCAAATCTTCTCATGATAAAATAGATAAAATATTTGACTTGATATATTTCGTTAGCTTGGAACGTGATTTCTTATGTATGGATATATGGAATTTTACTATTTTCCTACTTCACAATATATTACACTATTTTACATTGTATCTTCTCATGTACTGAAATATGAAGAATCATATGTTGCAATGTTCCTACAAGTGCTTTTGTGGATTTGTGACTCACTTTGTTCCTATGACTTTCATATTCAAGTTCATGGATTGAACAAGTTGCATTTGTGAATGAGTGACGTTGAGGTCGTTGATGTGGGCTGCTGTTTGAGAGTCCCGCGTGAAAGTGTCCGTTTCCAGGCCAGAAACCGTGAGGGTGACGAGAGGCGAGGGTATTGTGCTCTCTGTGAGTGCCGCGTAGAAGTGTCCGTTTCCATTGTCGAAGCCACGTGGTCTCCTCAGGCGACCGCCGGGAGCCGGTCACCGAACGTGAAGTCAACTCTACGCTGATATGGAACCTGCGTGCAGGCACCACTTGCGCTCGGAGGGCAACCATTTTGATGCGGGCTCACGAGGAGTGAGTTTATTGACAGGTGAAAAGCTGGCAAACACCGAGAATCCAATTCTGGGCAGTTCTCCCAAACAGGATCGTTCGAGTACAGTGAAGGAAACAGAGATTTCAAGATCGGATTGTTGTGGTTCCAAGTGGCGGCCATTTGATTCCGAAAGAAGAGCTCGTGACACCCTTTCGGGGAAATTCCTGAGAGAAGGGCAGAAGAGGTTGAGGACGAGGTCCGATCGGAAGAACTCAGCGCCGCAGACCCGGGCACCCATTCATCCATAATTTCATGTCTACTTGCAGGCAGCCATCCATTTCCTTCCGGACAAAACATCTATTCTGGTTGGTGGCTGTTAAACTGGAAGCCCAATCCATTTTTCTACTTCTAGACGTGATAGCGATGACGATACCTCAACTTCCTAATTCAAACATACGGTGGAGACTGGAGACTTGTTCTGCGAACCATTCGTCGCATACGGAGCCTGTTCTGATCGTCATCCATGGTCTGGTTCTGCGTGCAAGCAAATTGACACCATTAGAGGGATAGTTGCAGACGGAGCCCACCCTCTCGATCTTTTCTACACGCGGGTTTGGACTGGTTGGCGCCGTTTGACTTTCTGGCTTGTGACAGTGAATTCAGCGCCACTGGGGGGTCTAATGTGGTGGTATTCAGAACTACAACAGCTCCCAAAAGAAGGCATCACCAAGGCCATAACACCTCTTTTTGGATCCTCTGTTTTCAGGCCTGCCACCACGACTCCTCTCTCTTTCAGTCTCTTCTCTGCTCTAGCACCGTTGGCTGGTGGCTTGGAGAACATCCCTCATAGCCTCCCCGGCCAGCGTATTTCTCCTATCCTCACCTGTTTTCTACTCCGCCTCCAGCTCGAGTCTTACTTCTCGTGGTTGACTCCAAGGGGCTGCCTGATCTGCTCAATTGGAAGACAAACTCCACAATATTCAGGCCATCCGCAGATTATCATCTGGTGGAATCCGACTGTGGCTTGTATTCTTCACGGCTACATGGTCTTCTATAAACCGCCGGCTATCAGAAAATTTTACCCTCTAGGTATTCTCTCCCAACATTTGTTCAAACTTTCTTCCTTTAAAACGAATTCCCTAGGTTGCATATAACGGATCAAGGATGATTTACCTCGATCTTCCCCGTTACCATCCCTTCTCTGTTTTTTCCCTACTTACTTTGATGGGGGGAAATACTGTTTGACCAGCGCTGCGTAAATCGACCATCGCTGGTTCACTATCCGTGTAATCATTCGTTTTAAAAAATATTGTTGCTTAGTTGTTTGGATTACCCGAATTTCAAATATAAAGTCCATTTGATCCTGGAATATATCGGTGGTTTCCATGAAAAACTCATTCAAATTAATGCAATATTTCTCTTTAAAACGTACTGCGGCATATTTACATGATATCAGTTTTTCATACTCGGAAACACAGAGGAAGTATAACGGCATCACAGAGGAAACGTGGACAAAATATATTCATTCCTGTATCAACACGATTTTACAGAGCATTGTTGCCTGATGAATAGTACTTCTTTGAACTAGTGTGCCCTTGAATACTTGACTATATCCCTCAGTTTCACCAACTAAGCTCTGCTTCCAGCGTTGCTGAAGGTTTTACAGTGGCTTACAGTTATGTACGACTTCTTATGTCAAATTATTAGATCAATTTTGTGTTTCTCAGTCATACAGATCTGTAGTTGTTGTTGTTGTTGTATGAGTGGTGTAGGTGGTGTTAATTGGGAAGTATTTCATAGATACAACAGCTGAAGCAAAGGAGTGAATCCTCCTCGCATCTTGTTGAGTGCATCATGGGTGAAGCCTTGGTTAGCGAGATCAATGAAGCGGTTGAGTATCTAAGGCGACACTTTAGTCTATCTGGCAATGATCTGGAGCGATTGGAAGATGTGAAATCGTTGAATGAGACATCCCAGATGATCCGAGCTAATCTCAATGAAGCTGAGGAGATGGAGATAACATCCGAGTCGTCTAGACTTTGTCTTAAAAAACTGAAGAAAGGCTTCTATTATGCGGAGGATGTGCTTGATGAGTTTCTTTATTATGTGCTGCATCTAAAATCAGAGGGTGCGAAATTTCCAGTGGATAATAACCCCGTGCAGGCAGATATTAGCATGGTGGACCAGGAACCCGACCCTAGCTTTTCAACGAATCAGCATGGCAATCTGGCCTTTATGGATAATCTTGCCCAAACAATAAGGGATTTGAAAGTTAGGATATATAAGGAGAAGATGGATTGGGACACCCATGCGCTCGGACTTGTCAAAAGCTATCAGCAGAGGCCTACCACTGTCCGTCCTCAAAGCACTTCGTTGATGGGCTCAACTCCCCTTATTGGCAGAGGTGACGACTTGATGAAAATCAAGAGCTTGTTGTTCTCGGAGCTTAATCGAGATGGCAATATTCCCGTAATCGCTATCGTGGGTATGGGTGGCCTTGGGAAGACTACCCTTGCTCAGTGTGTGTACAATGACCCTCAAGTGCAGGAACGTTTCGATAAGAAGATTTGGGTCTGCGTCTCTGAAGATTTTGATTTGCTGAGGTTGACGAGGGCAATCCTCGAGTCTTTGGAGCAGAAAAAGTGTGATCTGACAGAAATGGATCCACTTCAGAGAAGGCTGAAGGGAATTGTTGAGGGAAAAAGGCTTTTGCTTGTGTTGGATGATATCTGGGAACACCGAGATCTGAACGCGGATGTTTGGGAGGATCTATGTAGACCCTTGCTTGGTGTCTCAAATGGAAGCAAAATCATAGTGACTACAAGGAGTAAAAATGTTTTGGATAGAGTAGTGGTAGCTAGTGTCCATCAGTTACCTTATCTAACAAAGGATTATTGCTTTATGCTGTTTAGTCACCATGCCTCTAAGGACCAGACCTCTGATATAGACTCCACCCTTCAGGATATCGGGAGGAAAATCTCCAGTAAGTGCAGAGGTCTACCACTAGCCGCGAAGACTCTTGGTAGCTTACTGCGTGGTCAAGATGATGTAGAGGTATGGACTGATGTGCTGAACAGTATTGGTAGTTGGGAAAGTGATGATCAAAATCGCTTAATGCCCATACTTCGGTTGAGTTACCAGTACCTGCCTACCAAACTCAGAAAATGTTTTAGGTATTGCTCTGTGTTCCCAAAAGCTCATCGGTTTAACAAGGAGAAACTCATCAATATGTGGATGGCCCACGGTTATATTATTCGAACAGAACGAGGAAAAAAACAACTGGAAGACATCGGTGAGGAGTATATAAATGAGCTGGTATCAAGGTCTTTATTTGAACAGTCTCAAAATCATGAAACATTCCAGATGCATGACTTGATCCATGATCTAGCGAGAGATGTTTCACAGGGTGAATGGTGGAGTGTGGAGGATGGTGTGTTCTACGGCAGTCATGATGACAGTGTTCAGCACTTCTCAGTCATCTCCACTAAAAATTATCCCCATGAGCATGTTCAGTCGTCACCACAAGGTCGATCTCTATTATTTTCCAACAGCATACTGAGAGCGCCAAATGTGAAAGATTTATGCAACAGAATGAAACAATTAAGAATTCTCGATATGAGTGACACTGGAATACTGAACCTACCAGACTGCATTAGTGATTTGAAGCACCTACGTTATCTTAGGCTTGAACGTTACCAAATCACTAAGCTGCCTGAAACCTTGGGGAGCCTATATCTCCTGGAAACTCTGAGCTTGAATTGGACTAAAATCAAGATTTTGCCTGATTCGATTTGCTTCTTGAAACGCCTGCGTTATCTTGGTCTTCGGGGTACATGCATCAAGTCTTTGCCTGAATCACTGGGCATGCTTGACCAGCTTCACACACTGGATTTGGAATTGTGTAAGATTGATTCTCTCCCATATAGTATATCGAATCTGTCAAGCCTGAGGCGACTGATCTGCAACGATGAGGTTCTATGTTCCTCAGAGATCAGAAAACTGACTAATCTTTACACGACTACTGATTTTGGTAATGGCCGACATCTTATAGTGAAAGAGTTTACTGACTTGGTTAATGTGGATGAGGCAAAGAAGAAATCCTCGCACAACAGGGAGCACATTAAGGTCTTATCTTTGGTCTGGAACAAGAACAAATCTCATATGGCCAATCCTATACATGGAGACGTGTTAGAAAGCCTTGGGCGGCATCCCAACCTCAGACAATTGTACATGGATGGATTTGGGGGAAATTCTCTTTCATCTTGGTTAAGAGATCCTTTTCACCTTCTTTGCCTCAACCGCATTCATCTAATTAGATGCGAACAACTGACGTCACTCCCGCCTCTTGAAAACTTTCCACATCTGAGGCATGTGCACATCGAGTCAGCCAAGAGACTAAAAGCTATGGGCTCTCAGTTTTCCTCCGACGCATCTCAATTACCGAACAAAGCAACACTCCAATGCCTGTCAAATAGAAATCGAGGGCATGGTATACAGGAATCCAGGGTACTGTTCCGAGGCCTGTTATCAAGAAATCCATGGAAGACACTAATCATTGTGGATTGTCCAAATGTGTCGTACTTTTCTGTAGATGGTTTCAAATTTATCCGAGTTCTAATGCTTATCAGATGTCCTCAGATCCAAATTTCGTACCTAGGAGGGCTTTCATCTCTCCAGGATCTGTCTATAAAAGCCTCCCATCAAGATATTCCCACTGACTTTTCATCTGGAGGGTTTCTACAACTGGAGAGACTAGAACTGGAAGATTTGCCTAATTGGAGGTCGTGGGCAGGTCCTAAAGAAGGCGAGTGCCCGAAACTTCAAAAGCTTTCTGTTGTTGGTTGTAACTCTTTGGAGAGCTTCTCAATAAGCTGTCTTCACAGTCTCAATGACATATATGTGAAAAATTGTCCGATGTTAAAGATCTCAAGGTACGATAGAGAGAAATTACATGACATTGAGAAGTACTGCAAGACAAACATACAGGACATAAAAATCATTTCCCATGGTTATGAGGCATTGGATGCTATGGAACAGAGTCAGAGACTCCCCTACTCCCCTTCCACTCGTTTTTGGAATTTAAGCACTGTAGACCATTTAGTCATCAGTGAGTGCACCATGCTTGTATCCATATCTTCGGAAGAACTACCATCATCACTAAAATCCATTCAGTTAGATGCCTGTAGTAACTTGAGATATCTTCAACTAGGCAAACAATGTGCCTTGGAATATTTAAGCATTCAGAATTGCCATCAACTCTCGCACGTGGAAAGCATATCATCAATACTGAGATTCCTTCTGATCCACTCTTCTCGAAGATCAATCTTGTGTCATCTTGGTAACCTTACTAAAGTGGAATACTTGAGTATCAAGAAATGTGTATTGGAGTTCTCAGATGTGGTACCATCAACATTAAAAGTGAAAAAGATTGACCAGTCAATATTAAAAGTGCTTACTATTGTTGAATGCTCAGATTGGACTTCCCTTCCATTTTCCTCACTTGACAGCTTTGAAGAATTGAGGATTATCAGATGCTCTGGGCCTGCTGCACTGATAGATGTGAAATGGCTGCCATCCACACTGAAAAAGCTTGAGGTTAATGAATATTCTAACCTGAGTTATTTTCCTCTTCACTTGTTTGAAAGTTTAAAAGAATTGAGTATTATAAGATGGTCGATGTATGTTGCATTTGTAGATGGGAAGAGCGTGCTATCAACACTAAAAAAACTTGAGATTATCGAATGTTCTGACCTGACTCACTTTCCACTTTTTTTGCTTGAAAGCTTGGAGGAATTGAGGATTATTAGATGCTCTGATCTTGCTGGATTTATAGATGAGAGAACAGTGCCATCAACACTAAAAAAGATTGAGATTATTGAATGTGGTCACCTGACTTACTTTCCACTTCACTTGCTTGATAGCTTAGAGGAATCAAGGATTATTAGATGCTCTGGGCCTACTGCATTCATAGATGTGAAAAGGGTACCGTCAACACTGAAAAGGCTTCAGTTTGTCGAATGTTCTGACCTAACTTACTTTCCACTTTGTTCGCTTCAAAACTTGGAGGAGTTAAGTATGATTAGATGCTCTAATCTTGCTATATTCATAGATGAGAGAGTAGTGCCACCAACACTAAAAAAGCTTGAGATTGTTGAATGTGATCACCTGACTTACTTTCCACTTCACTTGCTTGAAAACTTAGATGAATTGAGGATTGTTAGATGCTCTGGGCTTACTGCATTAATTGATACGAAAAGGGTGCCGTCAACACTCAAAAAGGTTGAGATTGTGGAATGTTCTGATTTGACTTACTTTCCACTTGACTTTCTAGAAAACTTGGAAGAATTGAGGATGATTAGATCCTCATTCCGTGTTGCATTCGTAGATGTGAAGAGGGTGCCGTCAACACTGAAAAAGCTTGAGATTGTGGAATTTTTTGACTTGACTTACTTTCCACTTTACTTGCTGGAAAACTTGGAGGAATTGAAGATGATTAGATGCTCATTTCGTGCTACATTCATAGATGTGGAAAGGGTGCCATCAACACTGAAAAGGCTTCAGATTGTGGAATGTTCTAACTTGACTTACTTTCCATTTCATTTGCTGGAAAACTTGCAAGAATTCAAGATGATTACATGCTCATTACGTGATGTATTTGTAGATATGAAATGGGCGCCGTCAACAATGAAAAAGCTTGAGATAATCACATGCTTTGACTTGACTTCCTTTCCACGTCACTTGCTTGAAAGCTTAGAGGAATTAAGGATTGTTAGAGCCTCTTTCTCTACTGGATTCATAGGCATGAAAAGGGTACTGTCAGCACTGAAAAAGCTTGAGATTGTCGAATGTTCTAACTTCTCTTCTTTTCCAATTTACTTGATAGAAACTTTGGACGAATTGAGGATTATTAGATGCTATGGTCTTTCTGAATTCTTATTTGAGATGACAGTGCCATCAACAATAAAAAAGCTTGAGATTGTCGAATGTGGTCACCTAACTTACTTTCCATTTTTTTTGCTTCCAAGCTTGGAGGAATTGAGGATTATCAGATGCTCTGAGCTTGCTGCATATATAGATGAGATAACAGTCCCTTCAACACTGAAAAATCTTGAGATTGTGGAATTTTCTGACTTGACTTATTTTCCACGCTACTCACTTCATAACAGGGAGGAATTAAGGATTATTGGTGGCTTGGAGCCTGCTGCATTCAAAGATTTTAGAATGCTGTCATTAACACGGAAAAAGCTTAAGATTGTCAAATGTTCTAACCTGACTTACCTTTGCCTTGACTTGCTCAAAAACATGGAGGAACTGAGGATTATTAGATCTGAGCTTGATGGTTTCATTGATATGAAATGGTTATCATTAACACTGAAAAAGCTTGTGATAATCAGATGTGATAAGATGGGTTACCTACAACTTCACTTGCTTGAATTATTGGAGGAATTAAGGATTATTAGATGCCCTGGTCTTTCTGGATTCATAGATGGAAGAACTATGCCTTCAACTCTGAAGAAGCTCCAGATTGTTGAATGTTATAACTTTGGTTACTTTCAACTTCATTTGTTTCAACATTTGGAGGAATTGATGATTGCTAGATGCTCCAAGCTTGATGGATTCATTAATGTGACAAGGGTGCCAACAACACTGCAAAAGCTTGAGATTGTCGAATGTTCCAATCTGAGTTGCTTTCCACTTCACTTTCTTCAAAGCTTGCTAGAATTGAGGATTATCAGATGCTCTGGGGATATTACATTCATAGATTTGGAATGGCTGCCATCAACACTGAGAATGCTTGAGATTGATACATTTTGGGGTTCCACTTTTTGTACACCATGCAAACTAGGTGCCTCAAAATTTATGAGGAATAGATACAGCATGGAACTATACTTGCCACTATACAAGTTAAATGACTTAGAACACCTAAAACTTAAATACAGCCCACAGCTTTGCTTCTCATATGAGGAAAATCTGCCATCAACACTACAAGAGCTTTGTATCATTGGGTGTCCAAAACTAGAAGAATGGTGCAAAAGGCACAGTCGAAGCTTAATGGATATCCAGCTATTGAAGATAGAAGATGAACAACATCAAGTAGATACGAGCTTATCTTTGAGCTTCAATGAATTTGAAGATTCTGATATTGATAAAGATTGTAGTAGTGATGATGATATGGATTGAGGTAACTACTTTGATTCTCATCCTGCTTTCTCTTCAAAGATAAAAGGTTGTGATTTTGATAGTGAAAAGTTTACATAATTATGATTATTAAGGCATTTTGGACATGCTTAGGTTAAAAAATCAGGCAACAAGTCATGCAGTTATTTCTTTATCTCATGAGTAAACTAGGAATTATCATTCCAATTGGGTCAATGTCCAATAGGAAACTTCTATATTTTGGATTAAAGTTTATTCTTCATCATTTGGAAAAAATGTGTATTTGCAATTAAATTTTTAGTATAAAATTGGACATATTTATCTTAGGAATTATCTAATGGTTTGCTTAACTTTCAACACTAAAACTGATTCCATCAACCTTATTGATCCTTTTTATATGAATGATGCCTAAAGTTCTCAGCTATATATACAAACTTCTGTCATCTAATTATATTCTCAAGAAGCCATTCACATGCATGTTGAGATAGGAAATAAATATGAGCTGTCTATATTCATAGTGAAAAATTACTCACCATTAGTGACAAAACTTGAATGATTATGATGGTTTGATGATACATATTTGTGAATCTTCTTTTTATATATGTGTTCATCAATATCTCACCAATCTTCCCACTTATGATTTTGTGTTCAAGTGAATTACATATCATCATAAAATGTTTTCGCACATTGGTAAGCTCATCCTATAGGAACATTGATAATTCTCTAAATTATATGATTAAAGATATCAATTTTTATCTGTGTTTACACTTTATTTTCTTAAAAACTACACAATGATATAATTTTCAGAAAAACAAAGTTTTATGTATTTACATTGATTTATTGATAGTTTTTTGAAAGGTTAAATGTGATCATGAGTTATATTGGATTTTATTATTTAAAATTTCGAAATGAGTTGAGATGTTTTCTAAATTTTATGTAATTTTTGGAAATTTATTTTAAATTTAAATGATTTTTTTGGAATTTTAAAGATGTTTTTCTAAATTTTTGAGTTTATTATGATGAAAATAAATAATAATAATAAAATAATAAAAGTGGGGGGGGGGGGGGACCAGTTGGCCAGTCGTCACTCGGCAGTTGACCAGGAAGGTGCCGCATGCACGTGGTAAGCTAAGTAAAGGAAGCCACAAGTTAGGCTCAAGTGGCTAAGGAACTCATACAGAACACACATGTGTCACTCCCCTTCTATGTCATTGGGGGCCAACCAAATATGGGGCATGGAATGTTTATATCCATGTGTGTATGTGGGTAGAACCATCTATCTACTCTTCTCCCCAAGTGGTTGTGGCCATTTTATTTCTAGAAGGGATTTGATAACTTTTGTAAGCCCAAACTTACATTCATATGAAACTTGTAGGAAAAGCCAATGTGGGACTAAAACTTTATGGACCACCGGCAACTATTAGATCAATGAGGGTGGGTGACATGACTCAATTGTTGTATAATAAATCATGTAAAATTTAAAATTAAAAAAATATCAACTTTTAATTTTTTAGAAGTATTTTAAAAATAAATTAATTATAATTCAATAAAAGGCTTAAAAAATAGTGAGAATTTTTCATATCAATCATAGGGATGTAAGATAATATCAGGTAAAACTTTAAACTTTTTCTCGAAGAATATATTTTTTTATAATTTTTAAATTAATGATGAAGAAAAAAATTATTTAAAAATTCACGAAAAAGAGAAATTCAAGTGCTAACATGAGGATGAGGTTAGTGTGTTGATAAACGTAATTCAAGTAAAGATAGATTTTCAGTTGACAATTATTATATAAGTGATTATAGATGATTTAATTGACCAAATTAAGATATGTAAAAGTCAAGAATCCTAATTAACTAAATAAGAGTTTCAAAACTTGAAATCACTTAAAATATCATTTATTTAAAGATTAAACTAGTTTAAAATATATAAAATAGAGTTCTAGCATTATGGCAGTGATTCTTAAAATTCTAAGTGTTTGAGAAGATTATTGTGCAATCTTCATGACTTTAAAGGTTATCCTTAGACATAGATGATGTGGTCAACATAGTATTATGGCAGTCAATAAAACATTTTCAAAAATTGTCACCTAGCGGAATAGAAGTTTGACAGCAATGAGTTCTTTGGTGATTGTCACCCGACAGAGATGAGTTGAGTGGAAGTAGAGTGCATCTTAAGGAGCTTCACTTGACATGTATGTTCTTAAGAGATCATAACAAATCTCTCGACATATTGCCTTGTTCTTGATGAAGCTAGTGACATCATCTATTACACAAATACCTTTATTATAGTGACATCATGATTGCATTTCTTTCTCATAACTTAGAGATATTTTTAGTAATTATTTACCGATAGTGAGCACCACTGGGGATTTAGTCCCACATCAATTGTTTTAAGAGATTTGTGATGAATATAAGTACGTGATTCATTCAGCCCTCAAGTTCTCTCTCCCGAAAATATAATGGTGAAGACACCTTAAGGAGAAGGTTAAGCAAAGTGGTCCGCCCCCCACATATACATGTGTGTATGAACATTCCTTTCCCCAAGCTTGGCTAGCCCCCAGTGATGCACACATACTTTGTGTAACTCCTTAGCTACTTGAGCCTAGCTCGTGGCTCCCCCAGTCTAGGTCTATTCACTCATGCATAGCATCTCCATGAGTCTATTAGAATAGCCCATTGGGCCCACTAGGTCCATTAGGCCCATTTTAGACTTATCCTCTCCATGTCCTTATTCTTTCTCTACAATCTCTACTTTTCCTTCCCTCTCTCTTTCTTCCCTTATTTTATATAACCTCATGTAATCATCTTCTTCAATATATCAATTCTAAGATTTTTTTCTTTCTCTTGTCAACATGATATCAAAGTCTTAGGGTTTCTCTTAATAATCTTGTCTTGTCTTAATTTTTTCTTAATAATGTTGTGTGTAAGTTGTGTAAATTAAGTAAATATCATCGTGATTCATACTTGAGTCGAGACGGAATTCTATCCATAACACTCTTTGACCTCATTCATTGTGATATTTGAAGGCCCTCTTGTACTCCATCTATCTCAGGTCATCATTACTACATTGTCTTTGTTGATGACTACACTCGAATGAGTTAAATCTATCTTTTGTACGATTGTACCTAAGTTCATATCACAATTGTTCACTTCATTATCGAGATCATCATTTAGTATTCTACTACAATCAAGATTCTTTGTACTAATAATACTTTAAAATTAGTCCAAAATTCACTTCACACATTTTGTATTAATTGTGGTATTCTTTATCAAACACATGTCCATACACATCTCAATAAAATAGTATCGCCAACTACTTGACATTACTTGCATACTACTTATTGAGATAATATTCCTCATTATCTGTAGTTTGAAACTCTCTTGATAATCACATATCTCTAGAATTGGCTTCCTTCCACTCTACTTGGTAAAGTCATTCCACTTCATTGTCTTTCACTTGATTCTTCTCTTTTTTCTTTACCTCTTTGTGTCTTTAGATATATTACTTTTGTTTAAAACCACTCTCCTTCTCTTTTTAAATTGGTCCCTCGTACTCTCAAAAGAATCTTTATTGATTACTCACACACACAAAAATATTATCAAGTCTATTTTCCTAATACTCGTCGCTATGTGACATTAGGTGACATTAGTTTTTATAAGGAGTCTCCCTTCTTTTCTCCAACATTAACTCCTCAATCTGCTACATCTTCACCACCTAATTTTCTTCTTGTGGTGATCATTGTAGATCCTTCTCCTACTCTTCATATTTGTCCAATTTCTTCTTCGTTAGCTCCTCCTTTGACACTTTCAACTTCATCACCATCCGATTCCTCTACTCTTGAATTAAATTCTTCTTCACCTTTTACTGATGAGCCTCCTCTAGTCATCTCTTCTCACACTTGGGTGGATGAACTTCATCTTCCTATTGCTCTCCACAAAGGTACATGTGTATGCACCAGACACCTCATTTCTCACTTTATTTCTTACGACTATCTTTCTTTTTCCTTTTGTACTTTTGCTCTTTCTATGGCCTCCAAATTAATTCTATGATTGTATGTTGAGGCTACACATGTACCTGAATGAAAGATAACTATGGACTTAGAGGTGGATGGTTTGGTGTCTTGGAGAACTTAGACACTTGTATCTTGTCCATACGATGTCAACATCATCACATGCAAGTGGGTTTTCACACTCAAGTATAATCTAGATAGATCTATTACACATCACAAGGCTTGCTTGGTTGCTCGTGAATTCACGTAAGCTTATAGCATTGACTACACTGAAATATTCTCTCTAGTGATTTGACTCAACTCTATTCGAGTGATATTCTCTCTGATGGTAAATTAGACATGATCTTTTCATCAATTAGATATTTTTAATAACTTTCTCTATAGTAACATTGAGGAACAAGTGTTTATAGAGCAACCTCTTAGATACGTTGCTCATAAGGAGTCATCGAAGGTGTGCCTTTTGCAACGCATCATTTATAGACTTAAGCAAAGTCTACATCGCTGGTTCGCCAAGTTTAGTGGTCTTCTAGTATAATTCAAATTTTCACCATGCCTTGTGGATTCCATAGTACTTACAAAGACTACTGAAGCCAACATTATCATCTTAACTATTTATGTGGATAATATTCTTGTGACAAAAAGTGATGAAGTAGTCATTCAAGCTACCAAATCATACTTACAACAATACTTCAGCATACGAGATCTGAGGGTTCCATGATACTTCCTTGAGATTAAGTTTGTCTATCAAGATAGTAAACTTTTGATACACTTCAGGAGACTAGGCTATTTGAGTGCAAGTTAGAATCATCACTTATGGAAGGACATCTGCACTTTTGAAATACATCATCTCTGCTCTTAGAGGATGCTAATTGATATAGACAATTGCTAGAGAAGATGATCTACCTCACCGTCACTCATCTTGACATTGTGTACATAGTTAATGTACTTAACCATTTCATGTAGAAACGTTGACAAATTTATTAGGATGGAGCTTTACGGGTTCTAATATACA